CCACTACTACACTCACCACTAGTACACTCACCACTACACTCACCACTAGCACACTCACCACTAGTACACTCACCACTATTACACTCACCACTATTACACTCACCACTAGTACACTCACCACTATTACACTCACCACTATTACACTCACCACTAGTACACTCACCACTAGTACACTCACCACTACACTCACCACTAGTACACTCAGCACTACACTCACCACTATTACACTCACCACGACACTCACCACTATTACACTCACCACTAGTACACTCACCACTATTACACACACTCACCACTGGTACTCACCACTAGCACACTCACCACTAGTACACTCACTCACCACTAGTATATCAGTGCCCTACTTCATTACAGACTTCAGACATTATTGTTCACCCCGTGCCATTGTAGTGGGTTCACGGGACACAGAGACGGTGGAGTAGAGGCAGCACTGGTTATTCAACTTAACAGGGGTTACACTGGAAGGGGTAACGGCCCCTTCACCCGTATACACGCTGGGACACCCCCTCGGCTATCAGCCTAACTCCTGTGCTCCCAGTTCCTCCAGCTACAGACGCTAGAGGAGGCAATCTGATCTGGGCCTGGTCAAGCACAGATCACGACACCCCACCAACCAGACCGGCCCTTAAAAGGGCTCCGGCTCTGAGGCTCTGCGGCCGCACCACCGGCTTACCCTACCGGCCCTCAAAAGGGCAGCGGTCAGGGAAGTCCCAGGGTCTATCTAGCCGGTCTTCCTTCTTCACTGGTTCTTCATTCTTGGCCCCAACGCACTGCCCCGAGCTCTCTGGCTCCCCGCCCTTTATACCCATACACCACTGTGGGCGGGGCTATAGCGGACGTGGTTGTAGCTGTGTGTTACCTTCCAACACTGTGTGTTTCCTTCCCACAACATCCCTACACCATTATAAATCTCAACGTTCATCCTACAAAGTCCCATCACAAGGGAGAAACACAAACAAATACACACAACTCATCATTTTTACCCCATTGAAACGGCTGTACGCCACCTGGACCTGAAACTTCAATTCCCCTGTACAAGAATACGTGTTAACCCGTGTGGGTTTACAGCTATTGTGTGATTGTCACCTCCGGTAACCAAGTCCGTGGGACGTCTGGCTTCCGATCGATTGCCCTGGCTGAAGACGGTGGAAGCCAACATGAAACACACAACTAAAACACATGGTTTCCTTATTCTTTAGTTATTTCGCTAAAGTCACGTAGGTTTCCTGCGTATTCCCCCCCCCCACCTCACTCATCCCCCCCACCTCACTCATCCCCCCCACCTCTCCCACTTTGAAGTGTCTTGGGGTGCACATTATTTGTTTTGGAAGGGAAGGAGTGGGAGTAGCGAGCTTTTGTAGGACGTGCAATGATTCAACGCCTGTGGCTGAGTAAGCAACTCCTTAGAGATCGGAAGCCAAGCTGAGTTACAGCCTGGATATGCTTGTACGTTGAATTTCTTTCGCGCCGTACATAGCCGACCGTGGCTAAATCGTGAAGTGCGCGGGGATCACGCTACGATGGGGGTGATAACCACGCACGAGCTGTGGGCTACTGGGCCACGTGGCGGGTAGCAGAGGGCAAAGTTCCAGACAGCCACCGCAGTTTCAGCTTTTTTTCTCGACAGGAGCGGAAGATGTAATTCAGTTAAGTTTCATTTATTAGGTATTTGCTGTACTACCCGGCTTCGCCCGGGACTTGGATCCACCATGCCCGGCCGGCTTTGTCTCCCCAGTGGCGATGTTCACACACCACAGCAGTTACTCGTTTGAGGCTGAGTCGACCTAGGGGAGGCCCAGGACCGGTTAAAATAATCATCACCGAGCGGGAATCGAACTCGGGTCGCCGGGTTCGTAGCGCGGCGTAGCGCTAACCACTACACTACGATGCGTTACGCTTCCACGTGCGCGGGTCACGTGACAGATTTGACATCACAGCTCACTTGCCGTGCAAAAAATATCTGCATTATTGAGCTCCTCCCCCCCCAAAAAGTGTATATTTATATTTTTTGCATGGTGTACAGTCTGGAAAGTACCCACATGGCAAATTTCAAGTTTGTTGCATGTCGGGAAGTACGCTAAACATTTTGAACAGACACACATAATCACAACGTTGCCTTTATTACATATGGAGACATAGACCTGTGAGCCATGCGGCTCTTGAATCGGGTACAACCGCAACAAACAAAAACATGACCAAGAAACATTCGAGGATCTTCTTGACGGCAGGCTGATTGCGCAGTGCAAATGCGATTCGGTGAGCGGCGATTCCTCGTCTCACGCGTTGAATATTTTTCAGGCACCCATCTTACCTTACCGTAATTATTGCAGGGAGTTAATGAGCGGTACAATGAAGGCAGCGAAAGGACGGAGGGGTATGTGGAGTGGGGGGGGTACGGGTATTATCGGGAGGGTTACCTAGGGATGAAGCGAAGGATGGGGCCAGGGTGAAGAGGTGTGGGTCTCGACAGGGAGGACGCTCGCTTGATGTGAAGTGGAAGTTTGTTCCAGTGAGAGGAATGACAAAGACCCCCCCCCCCCCCGTGTAGTCTCCAACAGACTGCTGGGGTAAGTGCTGTTCGCGAGCACCTATGAAGGTCGGAACGGCACACGAGGGGGTGGGTGGCCAGCACTACGCCCGGCCGCCTTTGTTTCCCGAGTGGCGATGTTTACACACCGCACCAGGTACTCATTTGAGGCTGAGTCTACCTAGGACAGGCCCAGAACGGGTTCAGATAATCGTCACGGATTTTGGCCGTGAACGGGAATCGAACTCGGGTCGCCAAGTTCATAGCGCAGCGCGCAAACCGCTACACCACCACACATACGCACTACAACATTCACAATCACCGCTTGTGTTAGAGAGTAAACCCCACTGCAACATTCACAATCACTGCTTGTGTTAGAGATTAAACCCACTACAACATTCACAATCACCGCTTGTGTGTTGGAGAGTAAACCCCACTACAAAATTCACAATCACCGCTTGTGTTAGAGATTAAACCCACTACAACATTCACAATCACCGCTTGTGTGTTAGAGAGTAAACACACTACAATATTCACAATCACCGCTTGTGTGTTAGAGAGTAAACGCACTACAACATTCACAATCACCGCTTGTGTGTTAAGAGAGTAACCCCACTACAACATTCACAATCACCGCTTGTGTGTTAGAGAGTAAACCCCACTACAAAATTCACAATCACCGCTTGTGTTAGAGATTAAACCCGCTACAACATTCACAATCACCGCTTGTGTGTTAGAGAGTAAACACACTGCAACATTCACAATCACCGCTTGTGTGTTAGAGAGTAAACGCACTACAACATTCACAATCATCGCTTGTGTGTTAGAGAGTAAACCCACTACAACATTCACAATCACCGCTTGTGTGTCAGAGAGTAAACCCACTACAACATTCACAATCACCGCTTGTGTGTTAGAGTAAACCCCACTCCAACATTCACAATCACCGTTTGTGTGTTAGAGAGTAAACCCACTACAACATTCACAATCACCGCTTGTGTGTTAGAGAGTAAGCCCACTACAACATTCACAATCACGGCTTGTGTGTTAGAGAGTAACCCCACTACAACATTCACAATCACCGCTCGTGTGTTAGAGAGTAACCCACTACAACATTCACAATCACCGCTTGTGTGTTAGAGAGTAAACCCACTACAACATTCACAATCACCGCTTGTGTGTTAGAGAGTAAACCCACTACAACATTCACAATTACCGCTTGTGTGTTAGAGAGTAAACCCACTACAACATTCACAATTACCGCTTGTGTGTTAGAGAGTAAACCCACTACAGCATTCACAATCACCGCTTGTGTGTTAGAGAGTAAACCCACTACAACATTCACAATTACCGCTTGTGTGTTAGAAAGTAAACCCACTACAACATTCACAATCACCGCTTGTGTGTTAGAGAGCAAACCCACTACAACATTTAAAATGTAAGTATCGTAACGTTTCGTTAGCAGCCTCATTCAGGCGGACAGCCAGACGTTGTTGAGAAATCCTCGAAAGCCTATGGGACCGTCCACAAATGACGTCACGCACCTGGGGGGGGGGGCGGTCAGACATTTGTGACGATGTGTGACGAAGGGGGGGGTGGGTTGAGAAATGTGACGTCAAATCAAAATGCGCAACTTTAAATAAATATAGACAACACGTTCTACTTAATTAAATAGACTTTTTAATAAATGTTTTCTCTTACATCAGAGTGCAGCGCCATATTAAATACGCACTACAATGACAATAGTTTAAAGCGATTTAAAGTATAAAATTTTGATTTAAAGCTTTCGTGACTGCAGTAATTCATATTCTTAGTTTTTTCGGTAAAGTCACGTTGAAGAGAAACAACAAAATAACAAAATATATATAAAACAATAAAAAATTCTCACGACGTTTCGACCATAACTCAAACGGTCATCATCAGGTGTGTTGGTTTGCATAAATTGATGATGACCGTTTGAGTTATGGTCGAAACATCGTGATAATTTTTTATTGTTTTATATATATTTTGTTATTTTGTTGTTTCTCTTCAACGTGACTTTACCGAAAAAACTAAGAATACGATTTAAAGTATGTTTCATATTTTTTTTGGGGGGGGCGGGCAGAGCTTCGTGACGTCATATTCGAGGGGGGTCTGACTTTTTGTGACGTCGTGTGACTGGGGGGGGGGTCAAAAATCGTCCAAAATCGCGGGACGTCATTTATGGACGGCCCCTATCTGTTAAACCAACATCATAATACAAATGTAGATTCATAATAAAGGTTTTTGGGTTGATCTAACCCAAAAACCTTTATTATGAATAATATTGGTCGCGAAAGCCTACGTGTTAAACTGACAAATGTAGATTGTAATTATGTTAATAACATCCGTGACGTCATAGGCACTCGGTCCCGCCCCCTATCCAGCCCTGCGTCCTGCACCCCCCACCCGTGGAATTGTCAACGAGATCTCGCGAGACTTGGACGAGTGCAAAAGCGCGCCAAATCCAGGCTGCTGCTCCCTCTCGCGCAGCGGGGCCCGTGACTCTTCTCACGCCTGTGACCCTCCTCACGCTCGTGACCTCCTCACGCCCGTGACCTCCTCACGCCCGTGACCTCCTCACGCCCGTGACCTCCTCACGCCCGTGACTCTCCTCACGCCCGTGACCTCCTCACGCCCGTGACCCTCCTCACGCCCGTGACCCTCCTCACGCCCGTGACTCTCCTCATTCCGTGACCTCACCACGCCCGTGACTCTCCTCACGCCCGTGACCTCACCACGCCCGTGACCTCCTCACGCCCGTGACCTCACTATCGTGACCTCGCTTTAACGGTACGTGTGGTTGTTGTTGTACCAAATGCTCCAGATAATGGACGTCTTGTGTGACCACCCCGCTCCATTTACCGTAATTCTATAAACTTCATATATTTGTTTGGTAAGTACGGTTAAGGTTGATGAAAAAATCAATATGCGAAGGGGGCGGGGGGGGAATGTTAACATTTAAGGCCTCGAATGTACTGTACCCTGGTGCTGTTGTGTAAACGTCGTCACTAGGGAGACAAAGGCGGCCGGGCGTGGTGCTGGCCACCCACCCCCTCGTGTGCCGTGTCGGCCTTCACAGGTGCCGCTCGCTAACAGCACTTGCCCCTACAGTCTGACACAGGCTACACGGGGGAGCTTTGTCTCTGTGTGCCTTCGTGCTGTTGTGTAAACATCGTTACTAGGGAGACAAAGACGGCCGGGAGTGGTGCAGGCCACCCACCATCCAACTCGTTTGCTACCGTTCCGGCCTTCACAGGTGCTACTCGCTAACAGCACTAACCCCAACAGTCTGTTAAGACTATAGGGGAATCTTTGTGTACCTTCGTGCTGTTGGTGTAAACATCGTCACTAGGGAGACAAAGGCGGCCGGGAGTGGTGCTGGCCACCCACCCCCTCGTGTGGAGTGCCGGCCTTCACAGGTGCTCCTCGCTAACAGCACTTGCCCCAACAGTCTGTTAAAAGGCTGCACGGGGAGGATCTTTGTGTATTCGTTTGGACGCCCCTCTACTACCACACGTGTTGTTATACAGTGCGTGTACAGTCAACCCGCGTCACGCGGGGTCTTATTTGGCCATACTTCACCACGCTGGTCCGCGCGGGGGTTATAAAGTTTGTTGCCACTCGTGCCGGGTTCGACCCGGAGAGTAGGGGGAGAACGGAGCGTCTGTTCAGGTGGCCAGGGATTATTGATTTGTACCACGTGGTGTGGTAACGCAATTGCCTTGAACGTTTCATTACAGTTTTACTGAACAGTTGGAGCAGCAGCAGCAGGAGCAGCAGCTGGGAGCATCAACAGAAGAAGCAACTGGCACAGCAGCAGGAGCAACAGTAGCTGAAGAAGCAGCTGGAGCAGCAGCAAGTTCAGCAGGAGCAGCAGCAGCAGGCGATCCGGGGTGCAATGATGCAGCGAGTGTCACGCCTGGCACGGGAGGTGGAGCGTCTGGCGAGCGAGCCCCCGCCCGGCGTGTCGTGCTGGCTCTGCGACGAGGCGTCCGGGGAGCTGCGTGCCCGTCAGTCCCCATCCCGTCCCCCCCCCCCCCTACACGTTGTACCATACCGATTGTAATCATCGCTGTCACGCGGAGGATGTGGCTCGGAGGGACGGTCTGAGCGCTGTAACAACGGCAACCCGCTGAAGATGGTGGGATTGAAGCCAGCTTGTAGCGGCCTGTGGTTTAAACCAGTTTCGCCACATTCGGCGAGTTAATGGTCTCAGGCCTGGTCATCGGTTAATGAACAAAACCCATTGCGTTAAATTTGGTTCGGAACTTAATTGGGATAAATTCCAGCCCTTGAGAATTGATGAACATTATTCATGTGGGAGAATGCTACCAAAGTGCATAACTTTGACCACGCTAGAAGTATATGCATTGGCTGTGTGCTCAGTGCTACTTGAAAAACAATAGGTAACTGTAGCGTGCACTAAAATTCGAAACCGTATTGCCAAGTTGAAAATGTTCACATCTCGTGTCGGATGAGTGCAGCTAAGCTACAATGACAGGTTTTGTTATAGTCTCTGGTTCATAAGCCACTTTTTTCCCTGTATTTAAATGCAAAAAATGCGGCTTTATCTTATAATCAGGTAGCTGAGTGTGACACCTGATTTTTGTAACTACACAGGGCTCAAACTTTGGGACTCGTATTTTTTGAGTGTCTTATAATTTGAAGAATACGGAATATAATTCGGGGGCCATTTTGAAGTGGGAGGCTTCTTGTGGCTGTGGGCCGCCACGTTGGCGAGATGTTAACTACCTTGCATGATATGCAGGAGGTCGTGGGTTCGATCCCGACCCTGACACCTGTATATTTGGAGCTTGCGTGTTCTCCCCGTGGTCGCGAGGATTTTTCTCCGGGCCCTCCAGGTTTTTTGCCCACATTTAGAATCAACGTGCGTTTAGTATACGAACATTTGGCCGCTATGAAGTTCCACGTGACGATAAGCTACTTTGTTCAGCTATCATTTGTGCCCAAGTCGCTTCTGAAAAAGAGCTATATAGCTCAGTGGAGCCTTGCCTGGTCAAATAAAAAATAAAATAATAAAATAACAAAAAAATTCTCGCTGAGAATTTTATTGTGTTATTTTATTATTTTATTCTCATTCTACGTGACTTTACCGAAAGAACCAAAGAAGATGAATCCTTGCAGTCACGAAAGCTTCAAATCAAAATTTAAAATAGTTTTTTTTTTTTTATTTAATGGCAGTTGTGGGTCGTGTCTTGCCCAAGGGGGCCATACGTTCCGCACCCATGCCCTGGCCGACACGAGTGCCCCTTTGAGGTGATTGCATCACGTGGATTGTCTCGGCTTGGATTTGCATCTTGTCTCCATCTAGAGATCCTGGGAGGTGCGGGCACTCCCTACGAGGGAGGCATCTTCAGCTTGGAGGTGCAGATACCTGACAGGTAAAGGACATGCTGGGAGGAGGTATATAACAAAGGGACACTTAACTCCATCACAAAACTAATGTGAAATAAAAATACATTGTTTCATATTAATCCCTGACCCCCACCCCTCTTCCATTATATTCACTATTATGGAGTGTTATGGACAATAATGGGGAGTGTGGTTGTTGCAATGGTTAGCCCCATGCGCTATGAACCTGGATACCTGAGTTTTTATTTCCCGGCTCTGGTTAACATCTTTGGCAAGTGAGAACTGAACCAGTTCTGGGTCCTCAAAGATCAACCCGCAATAACCAGCATGGTGGAGTAGTATTGTCAAACAACCTCCACAACCAACAGTGGGGAGCCCTTCACCCAGCAGTACATGCAAGAGGACCATACTAGAATGCTTTTTGTGATAGTTTGTTGTCTGATTAGCACGGTTTGCTACGTATGGTGCAAAAGAAGTTCAACACACAATTATTTTGTATCGTCAGTTGGTGTACGTGATTAAAGCGCTGGTTTATTTTTTTTCTCATCTGTGTGCAGGTATCCATTTGAGCCCCCAAAGGTGACGTTCCTGACGCCCATCTATCACCCAAACATCGACACGGCCGGCCGAATATGCCTCGACATCCTCAAGATGCCACCTAAGGTGCTTATTTCCCCCAAGGTGCCTTCACACTCGCCTGGCTCTCACTAATTAAACAAAATAATGTATTTCGGAAAGTGCCTTGGTGCTGCGTATCCTCGTGTAGATGTGGGGAACTTATGGCCAAGAGGCCAAATAAGGTTCGCGATTTTAATTTGGCACGATCCGCGGTCACGCGAGGCGTATTAATTTTAACGCATGTATTCTATAACGCTCAAGGTTTGTGTTATTGTCGTGGCCCACCATAGACCCAATAAAAAAATAAGAACATTGAAAAGATTGTACAGCGGTTGTGCGTGCAGTGAAAGACTCAACGCATTTATCAACAACACGGCGTTAGAAGGAAAAAAATAAAAATATATACAATAGAAAAGCCCTCTTAACGATGGTAATTGGTTCCATGAAACCGGTCGTTAAGTGATTTGATAGTTAAGCGAGTATAGGAAATACATGTTTAAACCGTACTTTATAATATTTAAAACAATTGACATTAATACATAAAGATACTAACAACATTATAAACATTAAACGAAAAATTATTGATCAATGCATTTATTAATATATACCGATGAATGGTCGGTAAGCGAACACATTGGGCTCTATGAAGGCCTGTCGTCAAGCGATTAGTCGTTAAAAGGGGTTCTACTGTATATTCAAAGAATAAATGTAAAAATAAATAAAAGGCGAGATTTGGATACCTCTCTAGCCTTGGCTAACATCGATGGCAGGCGACATCTGAATTTGTCATGACCCCCTCCCCTAGTTCGACTCACCCCCTAAATGAGTACCGTTGTCAGTGTGTAAACATCAGCACTGGGGAGACCGTAGGTGGCCAAGCGTGGTGCAGTCCATGCCACCCCCTCGTGTGCCGTGTGCTGGCCTCCCACAGTTGCTCGCGAACGGCACTTGCTCCAACGGGCTGAATGGCTTGAGGCGGGCGGGGGGTGGTTCGTCTGTTTCTCTGCTAGGGCGCGTGGAGGCCCTCGCTGAACGTGTCCACAGTCCTCACGTCCGTGCAGCAGCTGATGGGGGAACCTAACCCGGATGACCCGCTCATGCCCGACATCGTACGTACGTCCGTCCGTCCCACTGCCTTTCCCGGAGCCCTCCAACGATTAAGTTGGGCGGTGCTGGGTTGCCCTGTACTCAAAACTAAACTGCAGTAGACTCTCGATTTTCCGCGCTAATGACGGGGAGGAACGACCGCGGATAATAAAAAAAACTCGCGGATAATAAACAAAATATTCATTTTCCGCGTATCTCTATGCCAACAAACGAACTATTGACCGATCGATGATGCGCGTGCCCGGTGACAACACTTTCCTGCTCCCTCGCAGAGGACTTTGCCCACTAAGTGGATAGCAGAGCCACGCCAATCAAAATCGAACTCTGCCCACTTGTAAAGATATGCAAGTACTGTACTGTAGAGGCGATAACTTGGATTTCGTATTAACCGGAGCACATATTTGTTCGGTTTAAGCACGTGACTTGTAATAAACATGTCAAGAATAACAGTATGTAACTGTACTCTTTGGGTCTTTCGGTAAAGTCACGTAGGTAGAAAAATAATTAAAAAAATCACGACGTTTCGATCGCGACACAAGCAATCGTCTTCAGGTGAAAAAGTACAGCAGGCGAACTGCTGAGGCAGGAGAAATATAGCGAGAGAATTACTGCAGCAAGAGGTTATATTGGTTTGAGATGGGTACAACCCAAGGGTAAGTGGGCGGGGCTAGAGATGGAATTTACAAGTAATATGCCTCGGCCATTGTGTTGCTAGAGATTAGCATGTCAATCTGTTAATGTAACCCCACGACTACGGTGCTGAAGAAGCCATTGTATTGCTAGATATATTACAATGGCTCATTTCTAGCAATACAATGGCCGAGGCATATTACTTGTAAATTCCATCTCTAGCCCCGCCCACTTACCTTGGGTTGTACCCATCTCAAACCTTTATAGCCTCTTGCTGCAGTTAGCCTGCTGTATTTTTTCACCTGAAGACAATTGCTTGTGTTGCGATTGAAACGTCGTGATTTTTTCTTCTATCTACAGGACTTTACCGAAAGACCTAAAGAGTATGAATTCCTGCAGTCACAAAAGCTTTAAGTCAATATGTAACTGTTTTTAGATTATTAATTTGGGCTTAGGGGAAAATCCACGAGTTATTCATTTATGTTAAAATCTCAGGAGCATGGTTAATCCACAAATTAGATAAACCGCATGCGGATAATCAAGAGTCTACTGTATACATTATTTTATTTTACCAGGTAAGGCCCACTGAGCTATTAGCTTCTTTTTCAGAAGCTACTTGGCCGCAAATGATAGCTCAACGAAATGACTTGTCACGTGGAAATTTATAGTAGCAGCCAAATATTCGAAACGCACGTTAATTCTAAATGTAGAGGGAAAAACCGGAGGACCCGGAGAAAAATTCACCTGACGACGTGGAGATACTCAAACTCCAAATATACAGCAGGCGTCGGTGTCGTAATCGAACCCACGACCTCCTGTACACCAGGCAAGGTAGTTAACATCTCCTAGCCACCATGGCACCCCTGTACAGAATTGAGGTATTGGTCATTGGCCTCGGTAGACCCGCGAAGCTTCACTATTGACACATTGAGAGGGGGCCGGGTGACTCGGAGGGTGGGGGAGGGGAGTCGGAGCACTGAGCCAAGGCCGCTGAAATTCCTGGGTTCGAATCCAGATTGAATGGTGCACGTCTGGTTAAACTGGGTTCACAGGTTCAGTGAGTTCAAGATCTGGTTACCAAAACTTTTTTTTACGTTTTGGGATTTCATTTAAATGTGGCAAATTTCATCTTGGAATTTATTTATTTTGATCACTTTGCCATGCGGGAAGGTGTGTCCCCCAGAATCGATTTAAACTAAAGTAGTTTTTTTTGCGTTACCAATAATCACATGCAAAAAAACCTATTGAAATATCGATTATCAGCAGTTAACCAATTGATTAGAGATGAGAAACAGACTTAATATTGACTGTTAAGAAAAGTGGGTTTGGGCAGGCCGACGTGACTAGAAGCGTTGACAATCGATGGACACGACTGATGGTGGAATTACAACCAAAGGAGGAAAACGCGCCCGAAAGTACGACTAGCGCGGAGATGGAGCGATGAGATCAGCGCATGCGCAGGAGCTAGATGCATTGTGGCATCGCGGGACTCTGAAGGATTGCGATGATGTGGGGGAGGCCGTCGTCCAGCAGTGGATAGGTCATGGCCGATGTTGGTGTAGTATGCAAGAGAAACCTTTTGAATGGTGCGTTCTGTCTCCTCCCATGCGCCTCCTTACAGTCGGCCGAGTTTAAGTACAACAAGCCATCTTTTGTCAGCACGGCCAAAAGCTGGACACAGAAGCATGCCATGGCGGAGAAGGTGGGTCCTGATGTATGTACGTTCAACTTTTTCACCGCACGTAGCCAACCGTGCTCATCGGAAGTGCGGGGTGGGGGAGGAATGACGACAAACTGAACACAAAAAGTAATTCTGTGTTAATGTAGCCGGAATGTTCATACTTTAGTCTAGTCTAGTCCAGTGTTCTTCATTGCAAGGCCCACGGGCCACTGGTGGCCGCCTGGTGGCCTTTAGTGCGGCCCCTGACTTGTCGCCCCGCCCCCCCCGACATGCACATATGTGAAAACACCTCCCATCATCATCATCGTGCTGTCAAACCACTATGGTTTCAAATGTATGGTGGCCCTCGCACTTATGGTGTCTTATCGGCGAAAACCGCCCCCCCCCCTGTGAAAATGTATGTAGTCAAGCCTACGTCTGTGGATTTCATGGAGTCAATCTCGTCTGGGTACAGTTTTGGTGTGGAGGGGCACGTGTGATTACTCGCCCTCTCCGACCCTCCAACTATCAGGTCCACCAATCCGTGAACTTGGTAACTCTTTTACAAATGCACGTGTATATATATCTAGTTTTAGTTCTTTTAACTATTTTTTTTATTACCAGGTAAGGCCCACTGAGCTATGTAGCTCTTTATCAGAAGCGACCTGGCCACTCAAAAGTGATAAGCTCAACGAAGTGGCTTATCGTCCCGTGGAAATGTATCGCAGCCAAATGCTCTAAATGCACGTCGATTCTAAATGTGGAGGGAAAAACCGGAGGACCCAGAGAAAAATCCACACGACCATGGGGATAGAGACCTGCAAACTCCAAATGTACAGGCATCAGGATTGACATCGACCCCACGACCTCTATGCCAGGCGAGGTAATTAATATCTCGCCACCGCAGCAGGCCATATTTGGTCTTAATGGCACCAGTGATGGCCGATGCGCTCATTAACATTCATGCGCTGTTGTGGTGGTGAGAAGGTTGAGAAGGCCACAGGAGGAGACATCGACCGGGCACCTCAGGAGGCTGTGCCTTTGTTGAGGGACAAGAAGCAGCCCTCCGAAGACGAGGCTGGACATCACGAAGCCAAAAGAGTGCGGCTGTGAGCCCGATCTCCTGGCCGCCTTGGCTCGGTGCACAATTGTCAAGGAATGCTAGTCACCAAAATCGTGCCCTTATTTGGATTTTTATGAAAGATTGGTTATATTTTTTTAGCTCTCTGATGTGTTTTCTTGCTCGTGCCACGTGTTGTTCAGCATAATGTCCAATGTCTCGCTGCAATGGGCTGGGAGCCTCTTCAGGGACTGCAAATGAAGAAGCTTCCAGCACATGTTGGACAGAACGCTGAACAATAACTCAACAACACATCGGAGAGCTACACAGGAGCATGGCTGCAAAAACCTGAGCGGTATTGTTTTTATTTGCGTGTTATTTTTTTGCCATCACATTTCAATGGGATGGAGCAGTCGTATAGTGGTTGGTGTGCTGCTGCTGCGCTATGAACCTTGGTGCAATAACCAATTAACAGTTTTTTTAGTTTAACCAGGGTGAGAACTCCAGACCAGAGATAAGTCTAATTTGTGAGCGTCACCTGGGTCGCCAATATGGCAAAAGCAAAATATAAAAACTAAAATACAAAACTCATCAGAACCTGTTGTACGCTCCCCTGCCCCAACACCATCTCCCTCCTCCAACCACCTTCACAATCACACTGACCAGCGTGGTGAAGTATGGTTAAAAACAAAAAGCCATGACAGACATAATATTGCGATGTCTTTATCCACGAGTGGATTAAGAATTTACGTAATTTGTGTTTATTTTGCAATTGTGTTATTGGAACTACAGGCAGTAAGCAGTGGCACCAGAAATCCGAAACGTGCTGAATAAAAAAACACCGGTCAGGTCGCAGAGTCCTCTTCGGTGTCTGATTAGTGTGGCTAAAATGCTTGCGGTGATGTATAAATATAATTTGCGCATATCTGTCAACCCCTTATCAGTGCCCTACCTTATTACAAACCAATGCAGACATTATTGGTCTCCCCGTGCCCCTTATAAATCTCAACGTTCATCCTACAAATTCCCATCACAAGGGAGAAATACAAACAAATAGACAAAAACTATTTTTTACTCAATTTCCCTATACAAGAATGCAGGTAAACCGTATGGGGGTTGACAGGTATGTTTGCGTGACCCATGTCAGAGTGGTCGCGTGTGAAGTCACATCGCCTTGTGCTAACCCTCGGCAATAAGTTGTAAGAATGCAGTGTGTATAAAGTGTTGTATGAGTTTTTAATATTAAATCATCCAATGTGTAACTTTCTTTTAAGCGTGTTAATGTTTATAGATTTGTAGAAGCTAATAAAATCATAGCTTGAGTTACGTATTGACTTTTGTTTTTTTTTGTGATAAACTTGCAACATTTCATATCCAACCTGACCAATGAACCAAACTAACGCACCCAGTGCAGTTTTTGTGCATGGTGTAACTCAATTTCTATAAAGCAGTTCACATTTGCAACTTTTCCTTTGTTCACGGTGAGCTGGATATGCAATGCACTAGTACGGACAGCCCTCGAATTATAAACACATTGTTCCTGAGCCCCGTTCGTAAGTAGGACGGTTCGTAAGTCTGAACACAGTAATTTAATGTATTTAAATGCCCACACGCACCAACACTCCCAGCACAAGGCTGACTCATTACATCTTGCGGAGGATCGCTCCGCTGGACAAAATAGTGCCACGGTTCAATTTGCAAGTGAGAGTTTGTGTTTTAAGTCAATGTTAAAAACATTTCATGGAAGCTTGTTTGTAAGTGCAGGTGTGCGTAAGTCGAGTACTGCCTGTACAGGGAACGTCGCTCATTAAAATAATTTCAGAATATTTATACTGGTGGAATCCGATGAGCTATAAAGCTCGTTTTCACATGTCCAGTCAGAGCAGGTAAGAGCGTTACAACAAACAGTAAAAAACAGCGAAAAGCATTTAGAGGTAAACATCACCAAAATGCATACAAATAAAACAACCATCCTCCCAGACAAAGCCCACTGAGGTATTAACTTATTTTTCAAAAGCGACCTGGACACAATAGTTCAACAAAGTGGCGTATTATTTGGACGTTTATAGCCGCAAACTGATCTAAATTAGCCATGCATCCCAATAGAATACTGAGCAACATTGGAAAATAGTCTTCATGTGAAAGTGAAACCTTGAACAAATTAATATTACGTTGAGCCCACAGCAAGGTCAAGAAGTCCCCACCTTGCCGTCACTTCTCAGAATCCGAATCTTAATTTATCCTGGAGAAATCTGATGAGCTGTAAAGCCCTTTTTCACAAAATCCAGTCGCTGGAGCGGTTATCTGTCTGGACGCTGGTTTTCTGACTTCACCTGAATGTGAAATTATAAGTTGTTGCTCTGCATCTACATCAGAAGCCATACGATAGTATGAACGTGATGAGTTTTTATTATTTGCTCTTGAGCTATTGTCGGTCAACGCCGTGAACTGTTTCATGACCTACGCAATGGAAATCGCTATCACATAATTCACTGTCGGCCACATAAAACCATGACTCTTAGGCTTATGATGCTACCTCGGGCGGTACTGACAAGTGAAATACTGTTTCTGGCCTGGTCACTGCTTGCGGGTTATATTTTAATGCTATAACTGGCCCCGTCTCGATTATTTGGCTGTTATAAATTTCCACACGAGACAACTTCGCAGAGCTTTCATTTGTGGCCAGGTGTTTGGTATGCCGGAGGTCGTGGGTTCAATCTCAACCCTGGCGCCTGCTGCTGTATATTTGGAGTGTTTCGTGTCTCACTCTCCCCGTGGTCGCGTGGATTTGTCTCTGGGTTCCCTGGTTTTTGCCTCCACATTTAGAAACGTGCGTTTAGAGTATTTGGCTGCTATAAATGTCCACATGATAAGCCATTTCGTTGAGATATTACTATTTGTGATAGCCAGGTCGCTTCTGAAAAAGAGCTAAATAGCTCATTGTGGCTTACCTGGTTAAATAAATAGTCAGTGAATAAGTCAGTTTTTGTTTATTTTGATTTACTTTTTTACCTTTCGTATACTCTGCACTCCTATATTTTTTTGTGTATTGTTTGTTGTAACTTTTTGACCCGCCTGACTGGACATGAATATTATTTTGGTGCTATAAATGTCCAAATAATGGACCACTTTGTTGAGCTATCATTTGTGATGGCCAGGTCACTTCTGAAAAAACTAGTTCAAACCTCAGTGGGGCTTTGCCTGGTAGGATGGGAGATGAATTAGTTCAAGGCCGTAGCCATGGAGTCAACATTCGGGGGAACCAAATCTTCCAGAGGGTCTGGGGTCCCCCCCCCAGAAAAAAATGTAAATTTGAAAACGAATTTCCTGCCTAAAATATTTAACAAATTCACTAACACGTAGGATTAACTTTTTTTTCTTTCAATAATGTCTAATAGTGCATTGTATTACATTTTTCTTGTTTTACCTTTTCTTTCATTGTATGTAATGGCAGAGATTAGGGATTAATAAAGTACAACCACGACCACAATCATAAACAGAAATCTATTTTATAGCAATATATTGGGGGGGACATTATGAGCATATTTGCGACGCTCATTGATTCATGCCAGCCACCCTGTCATTCATTGGCTTCCTCACCACTAACATCGGTATTACCACGGCCATTGTTCTAATAAATTGCATATCTTGATACCTCTGCTAATGTCAAGGACTCAATTCACTAGGTTGGGCGTGACGTACATGTTATGTATATCGTTTATTGTTAAATTTGGATCACAGTTCCTTTGATTACTGTTGTTACATTGTTTTTTTTTATAGCTTTCTTTTGGTGATTTCGAAAACATGGTGAAGCCATATTTCTTGCGGAAGTGCGGAGTTGGCCTGATAACTTGAATCTAAATTGTCTTATGGTTGATAATTGTTTTTTTTACCCTTTTATCTGGCAACAAAACTGACACCTTTTTTTTATAAGGAGTCATGTTTGCATTGACCACAATACCTGCGGTCGGAATGCAAACAAAAACATAACTCTGATAATGTATGATTGATCAAATTGATTGGTCCACACCCGAGACAGCTTTCCTTAGAGCAGGGGTGTCCAAAGTTTTTTTAGTGAGGGCCAAATACAGAAAAATAAACAAAAGGCCGGGCCACACACTAGAGGTGACATATTGACACATGAATACTGTGTGTATTTCTAACTCACCTATAATGTGAAGAACATTGCACTCAGTGGGAGCAGTGATGCTGTCCTTTGGATTGAAGGATGGCTGACATGTCAGGAGAAAGTTTGGTGGTTGAGACACGAAGGACTTCACAGAGATGGCTATCAGTCATTCTGGTTCTCAGTCTGCTTTTGTTCGGATTTATCAGAGAAAATGTTTGTTCACATATGTATGTTGAGCCGAACAGGCTCATCATTCTTTTTGCGTGGCGTCTCATCAGAGGAAACTTGGCATTATCCAAACTCTGATAGAAGTCAGGGAGGGAGAGAAGCTGATGATGACTCTTCAGAGAATCATCACATTGCATTTCAATCAGTTCTAACTGCAGACTCTCTTCCACTTCTGCATCCACCAGGAAGGGGGTCGAGAACAGCTTGATTTGTTTTTCAATGACAGAAAAATATTGGAAACGCTGGTTTAATTCTGTCACGAGAGATACAATCACAGACACACATTTCTCCTTTTTAGCAGAAAGGTCGGCCTTTGGAAAAGAAGACTTGATTTCAGACAGCGCAGGGAAGTGTGCAGCATTAAAGCTTCGTAGTTGTGTCTCAAACAGGCGGAGCTTTACACAGAAGGCTTTCATGTGCGCATACAGGTGTGGCACCAGCTGTTCTTTGCCTTGTAGGTTCTTGTTCAGTGTATTCAGATGATGAGTAAGATCAACTAAAAATGCCAGGTCTGCCAGCCACAGAGGGTCACTCAGTTCATGAAGAGGTCGACCCTTCTCTTTCAAAAACTGGTCGATTTCTGATCTCAGCGAATAAAACCGCTGCAGCACAGAGCCGCGGCTGAGCCAGCACACATCAGAGTGGTAGAGTACATCCCCGTGTTCAGCATCCACATCAGATAGGAAAGCTTGAAATTATCTGTGGTACAGTCCTCTAGCTCGAATTATGTTGACAGTTTTTTACAACAGTGTTCATCACATCGCCCAGCTGGACATTCTTGGCACACAGTGCTTCTTGGTGGATTATACAGCGCATCCTAACAGCCTCACCTCCGCTCTCTTTTACCTTGGCGCACACCATCGATGCCATTCCTTCGCGCTCGCCCGTCACGGCCGGAGCTCCATCCGTTGTTACTCCACAGAGCTTGTCACATTTAAGCCCCCATCTTTTCAACTGCCTCTGACACAGCTTCAAAAATATCTCTACCCGCCGTTGTGCCTTTTAGGCTCATCATATCAAGCAGTTCCTCCGTACAGCAAAAATTATCATCTACTCCCCGCAAAAAAATTAACAGCTGCGCGGTGTCTGTGGCATCTGTGCTCTCGTCGCATGCTATCGAGTAAAAATCAAAAGCACAAGCTTTGTCTCTCAGCTGAAGTTTCAAGTTAGCTGACAAGTCCTCGATTCTCCGCAACACCGTATTTCTGGATAAGCGCACGCTGTTGAAATCCTGCACTTTTTCCGGGCACATTATTTCTGTGACTTTGATGAGGCACTGCTTTATGAAATCACCGTCTGAGAACGGTTTGCCGTGCTGGGCAATAAGTTTAGTGACTTCATAGCTTGCTGTTGTGGCGTTTTCCTGTATTTAGTTAGCACGAACAAAAAAATGTGTTGTTGAGCTTGCAGGCTAGCCGCCATTTGCTTGACTTTCTGTGTTCGTTCGGCACCGGTGTACGATGTGTAGCTCGTCATAATAAAGGTTTTTGGGATGTGTCGGGTGGTGGAGGGTTACGACACATTTATAAATAAACGCGATCTAACCCAAAAACCTTTATTATGAATAATATTGGTCGCGAAAGCCTACATGTTAAACTGATGTGTAGCTCTGATGTTTGGTCTCATAGTGCCGACTGACATTATACTCTTTCATCACAGCAACATCTTCATTGCAAATCAAACAGACACACTTTCCGTTGATTTCTTTGAAAAAATATTCATTTTCCCACCGTGTTTGAAATCTTCTACTCTCACTTGCTATTTTGCGTTTCTTCAGTGCTGCCATTTCTGGTGACCCGCGGTAAAAGTTTTTCTCTGCTTAATTTTGTTTAGTGGAGAAGCACGGTTTTCCGCGGCTGGCTCTATCTAGTGTTGAAACTGAGAAGTGCAACAGAGTTGAGCTCAAGCTTCTTGTGCGGGCCATATTCAATTATAGTTTCTGAATTTGCTGCGGGCCAATAAAAACTGGACCGCGGGCCGCAGTTGGCCCGCGGGCCGTAGTTTGGACACCCCTGCCTTAGAGCCGAGTCTTCACATGGTGTTGGACCAGATGATGCCAAAAGGCGCACAAGATAAAAGGGTAAAAAAAAAGCAATTATATTTTGCTACTGGCAAAGGGAGGTTCCAATGGTGTCTTATGGTTGATATTGTTTGACTTGCATCACACTGGGATTTTTGCACACAGCGTTGTAATACGGTATGGGGGGGGGGGGGGGTCTGGAAGATTTGCTGGTTTATCCCAGGATGTTTCTGTTGCGCATCGTCGCTTTAAGATGTTTTTCTGTTTCGATTTAAAGCTTTCGTGACTGCAAGGATTCATCTTCTTTTGTTCCAACGGTAAAGTCACCACGTAGAATGAGAATAAAATAATAAATTGATAAAATAAAATAACACAATAAAATTCTCACGACGTTTCGGCCACAACACAAGCGGCCTTCATCAGGTGAAGGGACGAGACTGTCTGGTAGGACAGCGCTGGAGCGAAAAAGCCACGCTCAGATCGCGACCTTTAAGCTGTGTGAGAAGAAACAAAGCGCCTTGACAAAGGAATTAGCATAGAATTTAGCATTGAAATAGCTGAGTGATTAGCTTGTGACTGGTCACAGAAATGGCTATGTTAAGTTAAAGCATACACATCCGCAGAGGCACCCCTTGACAAAGGAATTAGCATAGATTCTATGCTAATTCCTTTGTCAAGGCGCTTTGTTTCTTCTCACACAGCTTAAAGGTCGCGATCTGAACGTGGCTTTTTCGCTCCAGCGCTGTCCTCCAGACAGTCTCGTCCCTTCACCTGATGATGACCGTTTGAGTTATGGTCGAAACGTCGTGAGAAAATTTTTATTGTTTTATATATATTTTGTTATTTTGTTGTTTCTCTTCAACGTGACTTTACCGAAAAAACTAAGAATAAGATGTTTCTCTGTTCATATTTTGTTTGTTGCGGTTGCACCCGACTCAAGCGCCGCATGGCTCACAGGGCTATACCTAATAAATTAAACTTTAACTTGAATATTGTAATTACGGCCTTGGTTTAGTTGAATGTGTTTGTGTTACGTTTACCTTTATTGTACTTTGCACTCCACTCGTGTTTGTTGTGCTGTTTGTTGTCGTAAAGTTCTTACCCCGTGCCCCGACTGGACATCGGCCAATTATCCCGAAGCAGAAGATGAACTGCTGGATACAACTGCATTTGTAAATGTGACTTGTATCTTTCATCTTTATATCATGTGTCAATAATTACATTTTAACGTGCAATTTTATGTATGGACTGTGCTTTTCTTCGTCTGGGTCTGGGCCTATTTTTTCTGTTGATTCGCTGCCTTGCCCGAGCTTGGGAATTGGTGTACTTATGCAAGTTGAACTTGTAGACTTTTTTTATTTTAGTAAATGTCTTACCTTTCCTGTACTTTGCACTCCTATCTTTGTATGTGTATTGTTGTAACTTTATGACCCGTCCCTACTGGACATATGTGGGAATAGAGCGAGTATATCTTATCGGATTCCTCCAGTATAGATACACACATTCTGATTCTAATCTGTGGTAAAAAGAGCTGTAATAGCTCATCGCATTCCTTCAGTATAAATATTTAGATTGTGATCTGTGGGAAAGGAGCTTTGTAGCTCATCGGATTCCTCCAGTTTAAATAATCTGATCTGCGGAAAAAGAGCTTAGTATTCTTTTGGGTCTTTCGGTAAAGTCGCGTAGATAGGTTCAAAGACAAATATAAAATAAAAACTACGACGTTTCGATCGCTTGCGTTGCGATCGAAACGTCGTAGTTTTTTTATTATTTTCTTTGAACCCATCTACGTGACTTTACCGAAAGACCCAAAGAATATTAATTCCTGCAGTCACGAAAGCTTTAAGTCACGATTTCTAGAGCTTAGTAGCTTATCGGATTTCGGCCCCTGCCTCCATTTCTCTCCATCCCTCTCCCCCCTCCCTCTCCCCCTCTCCCCCCTCCCTTCCCCCTCCCTCCCTCCCCTCTCTCCTCCCTCCCCCCCCTTCCCCCTCCCTCCCCTCCCTCCCCCCTCCCGCGCCCCGTTTGAATTTTCCCGCCACACGCGACCGCAAACCGTCGCGCCGCGCGCGGTGCGAGTCGGGAAGAATCCCCGCCTCCCCCGGCCCCCTGCCCCCAGCGGTTGCCAGGCAACGCGAGGCCTAAAGCGAGCGGGCCCTCTCTGTGAGGTATGTCGCTCGGCCTCTGAGCAGCCGCTGTTAACATTTTAAAAGCGAATAAACAAACAAAAAACCCGAAGGAAAAAAAACTAAACAACGAAAATAAACTTACCTGTCGCGTTTTCGTTATTTTTGAAGACTCTCTCAAGAAGGCTGCCCGTCAGTTGCGAATCGACAAGGGTGAGAGCGCGGCGTTGAATGAAGGCTGCGTGTCGATAACTAGGCCGCGTTTCGTTTAAGCCAAAATGTAAACCTTTTTTTTTGTTTGTTGGCGTTATCAAAGTATGAAAACATTAATAATAGGGGGGGCGGGAAGGTTTGTTTCGGGTGTGATCGCGTAGATATAAAAGGTGTCGTTAAATCCGCCACCACCCGACACGGCCAAGCAGTAAAGTTTTTTTATCACGTCAACAGAACGTTCCAATTCGTTACTAGTATGCTATTATGTAATTTTATTCTTATTTCTACGTGACTTTACCGAAAGAAAAAAAACAAAGAGTAATTCCTGCAATCACGAAAGCGCCAAATCAAGTTAGTACAGCACAGGTTGTGAATGTTGTGGATTTGCTCTCCAAACACAACCGGTGATGTACTGGTAACGAATTGGCACGTTCAGTTTACGTGACAAACCTTAACTAAATTTTGACTGCAGGGATTTATATTCTTGGTTCTTTCGGTAAAGTCACGTAGAAGGGAAACAATAAAAGAATAAAGTGAGAATTTGATTGTTTTATATTTTTTTATTATTTTATTGTTTCCCTTCTACGTGACTTTACCGAAAGAACCAAGAATATGAAACCTTAACTAATTGGCTGTCGGATGGTGGCGAGTTTAACAAGTTTATATTTATGAGATATATTTCCACCCCCCTCCCAAAAAAAAACCTATATAATGGATGATATTGGTCGCGAAAGCCTCATAAGTGTTACATTTACGGAACAATAAGAATAAGTTTTACCCTTTCTGTCAATGAAACAGGAGGTATTCTTAGCTCTTTCGGTAAAGTCACGTTGAAGGGAAACAATAAAATAAAAAAATACATATTTTATTATTTTGTTTCCCTTCAACGTGACTTTACGGAAAGAGCTAAGACGATGAATTACTGCAGTCACGAAAGCTTTAAATCGAAACAGGAGGTGTTAAGATGTTCAAACATCAAATAGAAACATTTTGCAAGGAATCAAGTACTGCATTAACCTACACACGGTACTTGTGAACATGCAAACTACAAACATGCTCTGATAATATATGCGTTGTAATTTGTTCATACTTTGTTAAACCCGTGCGAATTTTTTTCTTCCAACGATAGCGTCTTTATTTTCTTCTCGATTTCAGCGTATCTCGGATAATATAATGTTTTAAATGACCTCCGTTTTGTTAATCGATAACACCCCATTCACCCACCAGAGATCCTCTTTAGCTTAATAGTTTCACCACTTTAATTTTACTGTTTGTGTATGTTTACGGGTTGTGTACTTTTAAACACTCTTTGGTTCTTAAAGTCTTAAGTACATTTGTATCATCTTCATCGCTATTCCTGTCAACTCACACGGTTTGCCCCGTATTCTTGTACGGGGAAATTGAGTTTTCAAGTCCAGATGTCGTACAGCCGTTTCAATACGGGCACAAAAAAATGTGTTTGTCTATTTGTTTGTGTTTCTCCCTTGCGATGGGACTTTGTAGGATGAATGTTCAGATTTATAAGGGGCACGGGTGACCAATAAGGTCTGACTTGGTCTATAATAAGTTGGGGGCACTGATAAGGGGTTGACAGGTGTGTAGTGGTGAGTGTACTAGTTGTGAGTGTACTATTGGTGAATGTACTAGTGGTGAGTGTACTAGTGGTGATTGTCTATTTGTTTGTGTTTCTCCCTTGCGATGGGACTTTGTAGGATGAACGTTGAGATTTATAAGGGCACGAGGCGACCAATAAGGTCTGAATTGCTCTGTAATAAGGTAGGGCGCTGATAAGGGGTTGACAGGGATGTCATCACGATCCATGGCCAGATAGCCTACAGGTGTCCGCTGATACATTTCGTCATTTGTTTCCACTTTCTGCTCTGTCTTGAAGTGCCTGTATGCGTCGATCAGTGCACCACATCTTTCTGGAACCAATCTCTTATGTCGTCATCGTCGTCAAGCCATCCTCTGTTCGGTACATTTGTAACAGCTCCTACATTAAAACAAGTATTTTGTCTTTTCGATTTAAAGCTTTCGTGACTGCAAGGATTCATCTTCTTTGGTTCTTTCGGTAAAGTCACGTAGAATGAGAATAAAATAATAAATTAATAAAATAACACAATAAAATTATCACGACGTTTCGGCCACAACACAAGTGGCCTTCATCAGGTGAAGGGACGAGACTGTCTGGAGGACACCTGATGAAGGCCACTTGTGTTGTGGCCGAAACGTCGTGAGAATTTTATTGTGTTATTTTATTAATTTATTATTTTATTCTCATTCTACGTGACTTTACCAAAAGAACCAAAGAAGAAGTATTTTGTCCTTTAATTTATAATTTCGGTGGACTTGCCTCGCCATGGCAATGTGGAATGTCCACCACAAGCTTTGGTCAGCAAAGTGGAGATTAGGAGTAAAGAGTCAGGATTGTTAGGACCTCTACTTATTTTTTGTTCACCCGTTGTCTGCGGGGACAGTGGTCTAACCTCTGTTCGGTGAAACCAACCACATTCCTCCACCTTGCCCACACTGCAGAAGCTCAGGGCAATGCCGGCGGACGGCGACGGCACTGGGGCTGGCAGGGGCGACACGGCGTCCCTGCTGAGCGGCTGTGCAGCCGGCGGCACCGCCGGTGATGGGGCAGACTCCACCGACTCGCTGCTCTCCGCCATCTACCACAGCAGCTACGCAAGCCAGGACGAAGACGTGGAGGAGGACGGGCGAAAGCCTCGTTCGACACGGTGTGGCCGGGAGCCAAGGTATGGTTGTTGTATTTGAGATAGTTGCCTGGCAAAGGCCTCCCCCATTTTCCTTCCATTCCTTTGCCACGTTTGTTCCTGTCCAGTATTGGCCAATCTGTATTATTTCATCTCACCGTGTTTTCTGTTGTGGTTTGGTCACGGCTTTTTTTGAGCCCACGTACTTTTAATCCACCAAAGCACCAGCCAGAGCACTGTCGTGATTTGCATAGTTTGCTTTTGTAACTTTCCGACACGCCCCGACTGGACGTCTGCGAAAAAGTGCTTCGTAGCTCATTGGATTTCTCCAGGGTAAAGATTCCGATTCTGTACGGTGGGGTGGGTGGGGGGGGGCGTGTGCAGCTCCCGTCGGGTGCAGGTGGTGGCGACGGCCCACAGCCGGGATCGGAACTTTCCCAAGCGCAAATCCTCCCCCCCGCGGGGACCTCGTGGAGAGGGTGGCGGCCCCCCGCCTGCTGGACTGTCGGCCTGGGAGGATTGGCTCGTGAGGAAGACTCTGGAGGAGCGGCGACAGCTGGAGCGGCGTGCACGAAGCGTAGGCGCGGGGAGGGGGGGGGGGTGCCATTGGTGGTGGTGCTGCTGGAAATAAAATCTGGGAGTGTGCCACGGGGGCAGACACTGGGCATCTAATTAATTCTCCCGCCTCGGTGAAGCAGAACAATTAAGAGTTTGTGATTTTAATCAAGACATTTATTATTTTTTGCCTAGATTTATTTGTATTGTCTTCGAGTTTGCCTCATTTGTACAGTTTGCTTCATTAGCAGAAATTTAACAGCACATAATTTGCATACCATTTGCGTAAATACAAATATATTCTTATGCAATTCAATACGTGACCTGGTGCAGTTGCATTGTCTGGACACTTGATAGCTACGCTGACTTGTGTGAATGCACGAGTGCTGCATTTTCCAAGTGTCGCACAAGAAATCCTGTCTTGACACCACCAACACCGCCCACCTCTCACCTCTCTTCCTTCACAGGAGCGGCACCGCGAAGAGAAGCAACGAACTGAAGAGGAGATCAAATCGGAGAAGAGCAGGAAGACAGCGGAGCGCGTGCACGAGTGGATGAGGAATAAATTGGAGCAGGTGGGATATGGCACGGGAATCGGATAAGGCCCAACTGAGCTATACAGCTCTTTTTTTCAAAATCGACCTGGCCATGTTTGATAGCTCAACGTGGAAATTTAATGCAGCCAAATACTCAAAACGCACGTTGATTCTAAATGTGCAGTGAAAAACCGGAGTACCCGGAGAAAAATCCACGCTACCACGGGGAGAGTGAACATGCAAACTCCAAATATACAGCAGGTGTCAGGGTTGGGATCGAACTTACGACCTCCTGTATAACAGGCGAGGTAGTTAACATCTTGCCACCGTTGCACTGGAATCATGGGTCCTGTGCAGGCGGGCGGGCGGGCTATGACTTCGCGGGCTGCAACGTCACGTCAGCCCCCCCCCCCCCGTGGTGTGCTCAGTTGCAGCTCGAGGAAGAGCAGACGGAGCGCAAGGAGCGCACGAAGATGGAGGAGAGAGAGCAGGAGAGGCAGAGGATCTTGGAGAAGGCGCACGAGAGTTACCAGCAGTGGCTGCAGCACAAGGCCGCGGCCGAGAAGGAGAAGAAGCAGAGGCAGCAGGTCCACAACGTTACATCTCCACAACACAGACCACGCTGTTAACTCTCCACTCTGCCCGCAACACAGACCACCTCGTTACCTCTCCACTCCGCCTGCAATACAGACCACCTTGTTACCTCTCCACAACACCAACCACCCTGTTACCTTTCCACTCCCTCCACGACACAGACCGCCCTGTTAACTCTCCACTCCATCCGCAACACAGACCGCCCCGTTACATCTCCACTCCCTTCACAACAGACCACCCCCTTTACCTTTCCACTCCCTCCACAACACAGACCACCCTGTTAACTCTGTACTCCCCTACACGTGCTCTCCACTCAGCAACACAGACCCACACCCCATCACCTCCAGTCTACCGAGATCTGAAGAGAAGGGGGCGCCAGTTGCGGTGATTTTGTAACTTTTACTTCGCGAAAATTAAAGCGTCGAGTCGAACCCCCCCCCCTCTATCCAGGAGGAGACAGAGCGGCTGGCGGCAGAAAAACGCGAGAGGAGGGAGAGGGCGGAGAGGGAGTTTCAGGAGTGGCTGGAAAAAGCGAAGACGAGACCTCGGCCCAAACGCGAGTGGCCGCTGGGCAAAGGAAACGGTGAGGGGGGTGGGGGCGGTGGTGGCGGCGGCGACCTCTCACGCAGTCATGCCGACCGCCTTAGTAGGCGACGCAGCCAGCACCCCGAGGTTTGAGAGGGCGTCAGTTAACCATTGTAGCTTAAGTCATTCAAGTCCCCGCAGGGTCGCGAGCTGTTCGAGGGGTTACGATGCAGGGCAAAAACCCTGTGTGGGTTTTTTTGCTCACTTGTATTTTCGATGTTAAGCAAAACGTACCGCTCTTTTCGTTGTGTTTGTGTTGTAGCCGCGTGATGTTAACTATCGCTGGGGTGCCACAGTGGCGAGCTGTTAACTGCCTCGCCTGGTAGACAGGAGTTTCGTGGCTTAAAATTCCGACCCCGATACCTGTATATATTTTGAGTTTGCATGTTTTCCCATTTAGTGGTGTGGATTTTACTCCCGGTTTTTTTTTGTTTGGCTGCTATAAATTTTCACATTATGAGCACACTTCATTGAGCTAACATTTGTGATAGTCAGGTCGCTTCTGTCAAAGAGCTCTATATCAGCTCACTAGGCCTTATCTAGTACAATTTAAAACCAGAGGCCGACCGAAATTCGGTTTTGGCGCCGAAAGTTGGCAAATGGCCTCTTTCGGCATAGTTTCGGTTTCGGCCGAAAGTAAAATTTTTTACTTTCGGTTTCGGCCGAAACCAGAAATTCAGTTTCGGTCGGCCTCTATTTAAAACCCAAGTTTTTTTTTTTTAACATGCAGCACCTCCCTCCTCACGCTCTCCCCACCCACAGGCACCTACAGCAACGGGGGCTACCCGGCGCCCAGCTTCTACAACCCCGTCCCCTGGAAGCCGATCCCCACACCTCCCCAAGATGCCGCCTGCCCCAAGTCGGCCAAAGGGAAGAAGGCGCGGTGCGCCAGCGCGCCCGCCGCTAGGCGCGGTGCGCCCACTGCTGCGGGCAGACCCGGCGCCGCCAGACTGAGGTCCTAGAACGCCGATTCCCACCCATCGACCGACAGCCCGATCCTGTAGCGTGAAACTGAAAACTATTTATTTTACCAGGGAAAGCCCCATTGAGCTATATAGCTCTTTTTCAGACGGGACGGGGCCACGAATGAAAGCTAAAAGTGGCTCATCACATGTAAATGTTTGGCATCCAAATACTCTAAAAGACGTTGATTTTAAATTAGGGGAAGACCGGAAGCCCTGGAAAAAAAATCTATGCAACCACGGGGAGAGCCATGCAAACTCCAAACATACAGGCGTCAGGATCGAACCCACGACTGCCTGTATACCAGGCGAGGTGGTTAACATCTCCACATTGTGGTGAGTCAGGGGGCATGGCCCCATTCTGGGAGTTGGAGGTGTCCTCCTGCTGCTCCAGAGCTGCATGTGGCTCTTCCAGGGACTGCTTCGTGATGCTATTTGAGCACAGTCTCGTATTCACCACAGTGCAATTGCACATTTTTTTTTTTTACCAAATTCGAAGAAGTCCCTTATTTTGGTTGCGGACCCCTATGGCTATAGCTTAGATTACAGATGGAATTTCCTCATGCTCTCATTTATCCGTTGCCATACTACGTGCAGTACTGAAAAAACCCTACTTTATCATGTTTAACCAATGGATGTGTACGACTTGTGGGTGCACTAGTGGGTTTTTTTTACGCACACCACAAAGTTCAAAATAGGTTCGAATATCAAATCGTGGCAATTCATTGAATTTCCGTGGGGGGGGGGGGGCACGGGACTGTTGATTAGCGCATAACATTGATTAGCACGGTTGGCTACGCCCTGTGCAAAAGATGTTCAACATACATACATGCAAACACCGATGGGCCTACACGTCCAGCATGCAACTTTATTGGACATGGCCACGGGTACACGAGGCCGACCACTTTGACACAAGACTGCAAATTATATCCATCTGTCAGTGACAGAGGGTGACCCCTGCCTGTACTTGTTAGTGTGTTGTTTGCCCGCCAAAGGTATCTCAAAAAGTCCTGTTCAGCCATTCGCTCATAAAATGTTCCCGCATTCCCGATGTAACAGATACCGAGGGATTTGAATGAAGCTTTACAGTGGAAATGCCTGACATGGCACTTCTATTTTAACTTAAGGAATTGTATTTTTCTCTCTCGTGCAGAATGCTTAAAAGTTACTTTTGGCCAATTCAAAAATTCTCTAAGAGGTTTTTTTTTTTTTACCAGTGGTAGCTTGATGATGTGACTAATATAATGAGACTTCAACAAATGATCACCAACTTATTCTGGTGCGGGTTGCTCCATGTGACCGCCCCCTTGTGTTTTCGGGGTTCGCACCGTGTGTCCTTGGATACGATGTCCAACGTTTCGGCATCGCGGAGGACAAGGCGTCGGGAGCTTTTTTAGTTTTTATTCCCGGTTCTTATACAACCGTGGACACACTTAGATCAACAACAACAACAAAAACTCAAACTGGGACCCTTGAAATTAATAAATTTGGTTTTTATTATCAACTGGCACTTTTGTCGTACACATTTAAATGAACAATTGGTAATATCTATATGGTAAGTCAACGCTTCAGGAACGCTTTATAATCCCTGCTCATCCGTGGCATGACGTGGCGAGGCGGGCGGGAGGGTGGTCCTGCGCACTTGCAGCCTACGGGTGATCGGCGCGAGCCAGCCATTGCGAGCGCAAAAGTAGCGCCACTTGCCGGCCGACCTCGTTTCTTGTAAACCGATCCGGCTTCACACAGTCCCATCGCGCGCGAGAGAGAGAGAAACGGCCACTCTTGGCAAAGTGCTAGCGCTTGCTGGTGGTCCTTGCCTTGGTGATGGGGGGGGGTGGGGGTGGGGACTATTCATCTGTCGCAGCATTCCTGCAAAAACGGAGCCCCTCCAGAGCAACTTTTAACACAACAGGTCAAGTGGAGCCATGGTTACCGTCTGTAGCAAATACTGCGAGTTCACGGCATTTCTCCTCCTTTTGCATTTTTTCCGTTTTTTTTTTTAAAGTTTCACGAGATTGCACTCGTCACAGTGAGAGCCGTGCGGAGAAGACGCACGGGGGGGGGGGGGCGGGGGGAGGGGGGCCCAACTAAAACCCAACGAGGCCAGCACCGAGAACTGCGGCGCAAAAAACTCAAATCGATCGTTACGCTCCCCAAATGCAGCTTCGGCAGACATTAAAAAGAAAATACGAGGAAAACTTTTGAATAATACTGCCTTCAGGGTCCCCAGAACAAGTCGCGCGGTGTCAGGCACAGGAGAGGAGGAGGGGTGGGGGTGGGGGACAGAGGGCTTACTTACAGCGCAGCGGCTTGGGACAGTTGGCAGGAGGAGGCGGTGGTGGTTGTTGCCCCCCCCCCCCTCCCCACGCGCCCCCCCGCCGCCACCCCCCTCCTGCGCCCTGGTGGGTGGCGGCGGGCACCGGCGACCGCCAGGCCGGGGGGGGGGGACTTACGAGGTGGCGGGGCCCGGCGAGAGCGTGACGGAGGAGGGCAGCAGCTCCGCAAGGCTGACCCCGGCCTCGCGGCACAGAGCCAGGGCACGCTGCACGGGCGCTCCCCCTTTGCCGCCGCCGCCGCCGCCGCACGCCGAAGACGCCGCCGACGCCGCCGCCTCCGCGAGCACAAACTGCACGCGGTGCATGAGGTGGCGAGACGGCGGGTTAGCGACGACGATGGCGTTGGGAGCGTTTTTCTTCCTGCTGGCGAGCTACGGCGACTCTTTTGACGTCGTCGCGACACGCTTTGGGGCCCACCGGCGCCACGGTGCGCACGCAATGCACGTGGGGCACCAAAGTAGGAGGGTGCTCGAGCGGACAGAGATGGGAATTCAAAGATGAAAATTATCTTCCGAGAGAAAGGGGGCGGGAACGAAGACGACTGGTGCCTTGGCGGCAGGGTGGTGGTGGTGGTGGTGGTTGTTGTTGTTACTTTAATTCTTGAGGCAAGACTTGGGACGGAACGAGCACGTGTTGGACAAGAGACAAAGACGACGCAATTAGAACGACGATGGGGATGCCACCGGTGCACTGCGCAAGGAGTAAGAGGGAGACCCGAGGGCGAGAGGGAAGGATGCAGCTAGAGAAGAGGCACAGAATGGCAGTATTTTTTTTAAAACGATCCGAGCAGCTGATCCCCAAGCAATAGCGTGGGGGGGGGGGGCGGCTCTTGGCAGAGAAGATTACACTTTTCTCGGCGCTTGCCGTGGTGTGTTAGTCTCGACATGTTATTGTTGTAAGTTGAGCACAACGCTTGTCAATCGAGAGGAGATATCTGTTGGGAGGGACACGATTAGAAAGCACATCAGAAGGCGGACCGGGATCAAGACGATGAAATATGGGCGAGCGGACGGCAGGTTCTGGAGTGCTTTTTGAAAAACTGAAACTTCGCGTAACGCAAAGCAACATCCTCAGTATTCATCGAGTTTAAATTACCCACGATGATACAATCAGAGGGCATGGCACGTGGACAAAAAAAGAAAATGGAACGAAAAGCGTGCAAAGCGTGATGAGATGTGCGATTCGAATTGCACTTAAGTGACAGACGGAGGAACGCATCGGGAAAAATTGCAGGACGTCGCCCGTTAAGCAAAGTTAAGTGCGCGCTTGGGCATGGCCAATGGCTGAGACCGCTGACGGATTGTCGGTCAACGCAGAGAAACGCCCGGGGAGGGATGGCCACCCCGGAAACGGAGCGATGAAATCGGCTCGCGTGCCGGAGATGGATTGCTGCATCGCAAGAGGGATGGGCATCGGCTGTGGGGAGGTCTTTACCCAAAACCTAGATGTAACCACACTTTACCTCACCACACATGACCTACCGATCCGACCGGTGAAGCCCATTTATGCTGCTGGGTGCAGAAAGGCGGGCGGGCAGATTTAAGAAACTTTCCGCCGGGAGATGAAATCCAACCGGCGCCCTCTGGATTGCAAGTCTAGCGTGTTAACCGTGACACCACAGCAGCATCGGCCGGGGGAGTGATAACTCGGCCTTGACCTTCCCAACGCATCCCCGAAAACCTGCAGAGCAAATAAACCTAGCAGCCACCATCGCCGCTGCCGCCACCCTGTGTGTGTCGCGAGCGCTCGTGCGGTGCGGTTGGTTACATCTTTCCAGAGCGATGCGGAGAGTGGAAGGCAGTGTAGAGCTCGGACGAACAGGCGCCGCAGCTGGGGGAAGACACAGAGCACACGGCGATGGCTCGGGCAACGCTACGCTTTCTACAAGTCGTCGAGGGCGGGTGGGAGGGGAAGTTGCCGAGCGATCGCGCATTGCTCGCAGACGTTCGTGGTTTGAATTCAGCAGGCCGCCCTGGATAACACTGCAATAACTGTTACACAATTCTGGCTGTCGCCTGGTGAGGCTGGTTGCGATTACCGGCGAAAAGCCGTACTCGAATTGTAAATGTTGTGGGTTTGCTCTCCAACACACCGTTGTGCCGAGCTGGTAATTGGCATGTTTTGTTTACGTGACAAGCCTTGCTAAATGGCTGTGTCGGGGTGGCGGCAGGCTTTAACGACACATTTATACTCGCGCGACCAAACCCCAAAAATACCTTACGGATGATATTGGTCGCGAAAGCCTCCGTGTGAACACTTATACTACGCGCCATCTGCTTCACAGTGGCCATTAAAGATCCCCCTCCAACGTCATTCGCAAGATTTAGTAGGCCACTGCGCGTCAGGCTCGGGGATCCGAATCTGCCACATCTCGATAATTACACCACAAACGATCGAATCCGAATTATACACGGCAACAAATCGCCGACGAACCGGCAGAAAACCCAGGTCACTCCTGTAAGCAGGAGTATCCCGGTCCCGTGTCGAGTTTCTCTCGCCCTATTAGAACGTGTTCAACCTGTAACTCGACGGTTTGCGACGATAAAATTGGCGGCGGCGACGATGAGAACGACGCCGACGCGTGTTGCCGGCAACCGAGGCCGCGCTCAAATCACAACATCGGCGCAGCAAAGGCGGTAATATCGGTGCGTCGGTTCTCACCTCCGACGGGCCGTGAAGTTTTCTCGTGGCAGCGATGACTCTGCAATCGGGAAGAGGAAGCTGCTTTTAAAGCGGCGACGGAGACACAGCAGCTACAGCAGCGGTGGCAACAATTGGCAACAGCATAAGCAGCAGGAGCGGTAAACTAAACTAGAAACTATTTTATTTTACCAGGCAAGGCTCGCCGAGCTACGTCGTGGAATTGTATAGCAGCCAAATACTCTAAAACACGTTGATTATAAATGTGGAGGGAAAAAAAAAAACGGAGGACCCGGAGAAAAATCCACGCGACCACGGGGAAAACACGCAAACTGCAAATATACAACAGGCGTCAGGGTCGGGATCGAACCCACGACCCTCTTGTATCCCAAGCGAGGTAGTTAACATCTCATGGCCACCGCGCCGGCCCAGATGTGACGGCAACAACACGGGCCCACCCAAGATTGTCGCTCAGCTCCTGCACCCAGCAACTGCACGCTAAGCGCCAGCGCCGTTAGGCCTGGGAAACGATTCGCGATGTCGCAATTCTGTTCAAGGATCCATTACTCGGCGACACTTGATGCATTGGGCAGCTGCGCACGGGCGTGGATAACAAAAACTACTAGCATTCGTCATGAAGGCTTCGGCCTTAAAAATATTTTTTTCAAGTATACAACGGGGGGGCGGGGAGTTTGGGACAATGGTCCTTCACAGCGCAGAGACGCAGGATGTTCCACTCTACCTCTCTGCCATTGGCGTCTTACGTGCTGCGAAGAAGGACCGTTGCTTGAAACGTCGACCATTTCATAGTTTTTTTTTTTACGTCGAAGGCCAGCGTTGGACAAACGGCTCTACATTCATCGCGTTATCTCCCGATTTGAGGATTTAAGGCAAGTACATTTTTTGCTTGCGGGCCAAAACGCTCCTCTGTATACCGCCACGACACGAGCCACTCGGCCCGCCACATGGCACTGCGCTCGCCCGGCCGAGCGTCGTTTTGCGTCGCAATTATTTTGTTCGCAGCGCGCGTTGTTCCCGCAGGCACAATTCCTGCCGGGCGCAAGCACCGATATTCGTCGACGGCTCTGTTCTCACACGCACCGAAACGCGTGCGTGTACGCACGCGTTTCGGTGCGTCAAAAAAACCTGCGCGGGTTAAAGGTTTCGAGCAAAAAAGCACCGCGCGTTACCGGCCGCCAACATTGTGGGCCGACGGAGGAAACCACGCGGCACGACACAAGACGGGTACCCGCGAAGCGAAGGAAGAGCCGATTGTTAAAGCGCCGACTGCGAATCGTTTACGTGCCGAGCGAGTGGTTCGGATCACCGCCGCCACCACGGCCAAAAGCCGCCGGATGGCACCTGGGAGGGGGGGGGGGGGGCGTTTGAACGAGGGGAGCGGCCTTATTTATTTTTCTAACCGCACGCCACCGTGACCACCGCCATCGGGGGTTACACTGCACGTCACACCTGCGAGCAGACGCCCACCCAGAACACCAACAGGCAGGCGGGGGGGCGGCTACGGTGGCGAGACGCCGGTAAACGGAACGGGGGGGGGGGGGGGGGGGGGGGTTTGTACAATGATGCCGGTCGAAGCCTCGGCAGACATCGGCATCGGTGACTTAAACGTTCACGAGACCGCTCGTCGAATCTTGCGGGCGCAAGTAAAAAAAAAAAAAAAAAATCTATTTTTTTTTTTTTTAAATTGGCACGTACTGCGTGCAATCGTTGCACATTGACCCGCGGGCAGCCATTAGAGACCGCTACACATTTGATTCATCAAGCGAATCCTGATCCGGAGTCGTGATGATAACAATTGTGGTGACGAAAGCATTGATAAATGATGGTTGTGGTGGTTGTAGTACCCGCTATCGATGATGATGATGGTAGTGACGGTGATAATGGTAAGGATGATGGTAGTGATGATAATTCGTTGTCTTTCTCTCCCCACCGTACCTCCGGTTTGGCTACGTACGGCGCGAAAGAATTCAACGTTCACACGATGATAGCGGCGGTATCGGCAATGATGCTAATGATGATGGCAGCGATGAGCGTTGATGATAATGGTGGTGGTGGTGGTGAAGCACAAGGCACTGGGGATGACGTTCCGGCCACGGGATTTTTTGTCTCGGCGTTCATAAAAGACACCGAGCATCGAGGCCCAACAGTACATTTTCCAGATGAAAAGACACGAGGGCAGCCTCTGGATCAGCAGCTTGGCCTGCAGAGCAACGCTGTGGACGTTTCCCTCCTCCGCCTCCGCCACCAGCAACCTGGGTTGGGTTGGAGAGGGGGTGGGATGGGGGCGGGGGGAGGGGTATAGGTAGGAGGGGGCAGCACAAGGGCAGCCCACCTTCTATCTTCTTCATCGTCATGAGCGCCACCGCCCTCCCCCCCCTCCTCCACTACCGTCTTCGCCTTCAACATCACTCATCCCCTGGTCATCGTCGTCACAACCCAACATCGATCATCGTTCCGGCTACGCCATCATCACAACCCAACGTCACAGGCCAATATCAACGTTATCGTCGTCAGTCCAATTGCTAGCAACGCTACAATCAGCACCGGTCGCCGACAACCAACGTCGCTTGTGTCATCGTTCCACCTGCCACCAACACTCACGTTGACAACCAACATTGTTCCCACCATCATCACAGTCGTGGTGCCGCTCCCTCCTTACAAACCGCACCACCACGTAAGGGAGGGTTATGCGATTGCAGGTTGGTGCAGTGCGCGGGTTAGCGCAGTGTGTGCCGCGGCGGTATATAGGAGAAGCCCTGCTGGGGTTACGGCAGTGTGATGTAGCCTGCTGGAGGTGTGCATCATGGACGTACGAATGTTGAATTCCTTTCGCACCGAACGTAGCCAACCGTGCGTATCGGAGGTACGGGAGGGAGGTGGGGACGACAACAAACTAAACACAAAACGCAGTTGGAAAAAAATAATTCGCAAAAAAAATCTGGATTTAAAAGTGCACAGCTCCAGTGCCGTCCTAATATCGGAAGGAAGAGCGTTCCAGACGGCCGCACGGAGCGCACATGAACACGCGATGCGGTGACCGTCTTCGTTCGACCACGAGCCCAAAAATCCGCCGTTGTGAGGATGACCCGGAAGTCACGTGATGACGGTTTACTGCCCCTCGGCGCGATCAGCGAAGGTCGTAAGGGATCACGGCCGAGCGAGCGCGGTGCCATGTGGCGGGCCGAGAGGCTCGTGTCGCGGCGGGATACAGAGGAGCGTGCCGTTGGCGGAGAGAGCTGCGCCCCTTGAGTGGCATTACCGTAAGGCCAGCGCGGCGTTGGTGGGCGCCAGCGCGTGCAGCCTCTCCAGCGCCGCCGAGCGTTGGCAGGGAGGCAGGCAGCCCACGTACACGTCCACAACCTGCACGCGACCGCCAACCGACCGACAAAAGACGTTGGCGCCTCTTTTTTTCCATCCGCCCCCCGCCACCGCACAGCCGAGCCGCGCCAGGCTCGCGACGGGGACGGCTCGTTTTTTATCCCCGCTGCGGGAGCGGAGCCGTGCATCGCGCACAACGATACGGGTGGGGACGCGCGCATGCGACGCGGTGGCCTCACGGCGAACCGACCGATGCCCGGTGCCCCTGACATCTCTGGGCGAGATGTTGACCACCTCGCCTGGTGTACAGGAGGTCGTGGGTTCGATCCCGACCCTGTGACGCCTGCTGCTGCTGTATATTTGGAGTTTGCGTCTCTCATCATCATCACGGTGGCTAGGAGATGTTAACTACCTCGCCTGGTATACAGGAGGTCGTGGGTTCTATCCCGACCCTGATGCCTGCTGCTGCTGTATATTTGGAGTTTGCATCTCATCATCATCATCATCACGGTTTCTAGGAGATGTTAACTACCTCGCCTGGTATACAGGAGGTCGTGGGTTCGATCCCGATCCTGACGGAGCCCGAGTTTGCATGTTCTCCCCGTGGTCGCGTGGATTTTTCTCCGGGTCCTCTGCTTTTACCCTCCACATTTAGAATTGACATTACGTGCTTAGAGCATTTGACCACTATAAATTTCCACGTGATAAGCCACTTCATTGAGCTCTCATTTGTGGCCAGGTCGTCTCTCAAAAAGAGCTATCCGCTTAGTGGGCCTTACCCGGTAAAATTTTAAGTTTAGTTCACTATAAGCTCCCGCACGTAGACCGCCGGTTGAGGCGAGCGCCGTGGGCGAGCACCTACGAAGGCCGGCCCCGCGCACGAGGAGCTGGTGTTGCCGTCACGGCACCACGGCACCACGGCCGCCTTCGTCCCCCCAGCGCCGATGTTCACACGCCGCACCGAGAGCTCGTGTAAGGTGGAATCGACGTTGGGGGAGGCCCCGGGAACCGGTTCTGATATCAGACGCCACCGACGCGGGCCCCGTGACCCGAAGCCAGAGCCAGGCGGCCGCGTTCGTAGCGCGGTGCGCGCTCGCCCATCAGCCCGGATGTTTGGAAGTCGTTCGTGCGTGGCCCTCGGGAAGTAAGGGAGAGGTTTCCCGCAAACGTAATCCACGAGACGCGAGCCGCGGGTGTTTTTCGGGTAGGCGTCGTTCCCCTTAAGCGGCGGGCGTATGAATGTTAAACTTCTTTCCCACCGTACGTAGACAAATGTGCTAGTCGAAGGTGTGGGGGAAGGACGACAAACTGTGGGTCTCTGCGCGAGTCTATGGGTCTCTGTGTGAGTCTGTGGGTCTCTGTGTGAGTCTGTGGGTCTCTTGTGCGAGTCTGTGGGTCTCTGTGTGAGCCTGTGTGTCTCTGTGTGAGTCTATGGGTCTCTGCGCGAGTCTGTGGGTCTCTGTGTGAGTCTGTGGGTCTCTGTGTGAGTCTGTGGGTCTCTTGTGCGAGTCTGTGGGTCTCTGTGTGAGCCTGTGTGTCTCTGTGTGAGTCTATGGGTCTCTGCGCGAGTCTGTGGGTCTCTGTGTGAGTCTGTGGGTCTCTGCGCGAGTCTGTGGGTCTCTGCGCGAGCCTGTGTGTCTCTGCGTGAGTCTGTGTGTCTCTGCGTGAGTCTGTGGGCACATTTTAAAAGTGCACAGCTCCGGTGGCTTCCAACTGTCGAAGGGAAGAGCGAGTGCTCCGGACGGCCGCAGAGGCGCATCTGAAAGCGCGTCGCTTCTTTCAGATGCGCCTCGGCCACCCTGCCCGTCCGACGGCTCAGCCAACAAAGGACGAGCGCGAGTTTCGCGCGATGGTCTAACCGCTCCTTGCCGGGTGGGGAGCGCCGGGCGCGGGCACCTGGTTGTGGAAGGTGTAGTCGGCCCAGTACTTGGCGGAGGAGTGCGGGAGGGCGCGCCGCACCGGCACCGTGGCGAGGCAGCGGTGCACGAGCGCCGTGAACGACCGCAGCTCCGGCGCTTTGCTCGCCGACGCCAGCAGCCTCGCCTTGGCCTGCGTCAGGTAGCTGCGCACACGGACGCGGGCGCACGGGCACGCGCAGACGCACGTGCAGACACACGCAAAGATGTTGCCCCCCCCCCCCGCCATATAGCCTTCAACAGACCTTGTTGGTCTTCTTTGGTTCTTTCGGTAAAGTCACGTAGAATGAGAATAAAATAATAAATTGATAAAATAAAATAACACAATAATATTCTCACGACGTTTCGGCCACAACACAAGCAGCCTTCATCAGGTGAAGGGACGAGACGGTCTGGAGGACAGTGCTGGAGTGATGAAGGCCGCTTGTGTTGTGGAGTGATGAAGGCCGCTTGTGTTGTGGCCGAAACGTCGTGAGAATATTATTGTGTTATTTTATTTTATCAATTTATTATTTTATTCTCATTCTACGTGACTATACCGAAAGAACCAAAGAAGATGAATCCTTGCAGTCACGAAAGCTTTAAATCGAGACCTTGTTGGGGCAAGTGCTTCTTAGCGAGTAGCAGCGCCTACGAAGGCCGGCATTGGCACGCGACGAGGGGGTGGGGGTGGCCAGCACTGTGCTCGGCCGCCTTTCGTCTCCGTGAGCGGGGGAATCGAAATCCGATCACCCGGTTCGTAGTGGGAGCGCGCAGACCGCCTACGCTAGCGGCACCCTCGCACGCGTGCACACGGAAACGCGCACACGGAAAACGCGCACAGCATGTGCACGCACGGTATGCACACAAATACAAATTCCCCGTGTAGCCCAACTAAACTATTGGGGGAGAGTTCTGTAAGCGAACGAAGGCCAACGGGTAGCACACGACACGAAGGGTTGGTGCGGCCTGTGCCGATGTTTACACACTGCACCGGCTACTTACTTAAGGCCAAGTCAACCTAGGCGAGGCCCAGGGCTGATTCACATTATAGCCATTGATGTCAGTGGCATAATTTCACGCCTAAAATACCCACTAAAAACTCGGCTTCACAAAGTCCGGATAACTTGTGCACTGGCGATCTGGTCCAGAAAGCTATTAGAAACTATTGTGATTTTACTATTTTTTTTTATTTTACCAGGTAAGGCCCACTGAGGTGCACGGCTCTTTTTACACGCTTTTATTTAACTCACTCCGTCTGTTGTTGTTGTTGTATCCTCAAATCTTGTAACTCAATTTTAACCCACTTCCCAATGTGGTATCGACTGCAAACTTGGTATACCAATATCACACTGATGACAATACTATATTCATTCATTAAAAATACAAAATATATTTTTAAATAATTTTTTTATATGTTATGTTTCGGCTTGGGTCTAATTGTCCACGCTCAACTGACGTTGGCTGTAAATCACCACGGTCCCTTACGTTATGGCAAGCTTCGGGGCCACTTCCTGGAGTCGTGGAATTTTGCCATTACGAATACGGTACATTTCATTAAAGCGTGTTTAAAAAAAAAGTATTTTTTAAGTATTACTTATTCAGAAGCGACCTGGCTGTCACAAATGATAGCGTCAATGAAGTGGGCTTATCATCATGCGGAAAATTTGTAGCAGCCAAATACTCCCAAGCCCACTGTTCTAAATGTGGGAGGGAAAAAAATCTGAGGACCCGGAGAAAAATCCACGTGACCACGCGGAGAACATGCAGCTGGCATGGAACTTCTAGCGCACCTCCGATTAGCGCCGATGGCCGCGTGCGGTGCGAAGAGTTCAACGTACGAGGGTGCCAGGGTCGGGATCGAACTCACGACCTCCCGTAAACCATGCGAGGTAGTTAACATCTCGCCACCGCTAATAGAGCGAGGTTGTGCCGCGCGAGCGCTCGTGCAAGGCACTTGCAAGCGTGGGCAACGCACTCCAACCACAGCAGCCGCAGCGGCTCCGCCGTCAGCTGGGCCCCCAGCGCAGCTTCGTGGGCGTCCGTCGCTCCGGCCGCGGGACTCGCCAGCACCTGCCAGGAGCTAACGCCGCATGCCACACACACACGGTCGTCCCGTCAAAAGCCGCACGCCACACACAGGGTCGCCACGCCACAACAACGACACTCACTATTTTTAGTTTATACCAGGCAAGGGTCCACGGAGCTAAATAGATCTTTTTCCAAAATGACCTTACCACAAATGATAGCTTGACAGAGTGATTTATCGTTGTTTGGAAATTTTATCGGCCAAATACTCTAAACGCGTAACGCCGATTCTAAACGTGGAAGAAGAAACCAGAGAAAAATCCACTAGACCACAGGGAGAGACACACGCAAACTCCAAATACGCAGCAGGCGTCAAAGTCATGATCGAACCCACGACCTCTTGTACACCAGGCGAGGTAGTTGACGTCTCATAGCCACCACGGCGCACGAGTGAGGCCTTGTGAAGATTCGCATCGTATTGGTCACGACAAAGTTCATCGGGGGGGGGGGGGGGGGGGGGGGGGTGGGGGAGAAAAGCGTACCAGTAGCAGAGCCACAGGTAGCCCTGCTGGGCCTGCAGCGTCTCGCGCGAGACTCCGGCCGCAAAGCCGGGGGCTCGGAAGTTGTACGGCACGGGGCACCCGAGCAGCGACCTGGAGATGGAACGCAACACGTGTTACGCAACGCGTGGTACATGCACGTAACACGTGTTACATGCACATACGTATGTTGAGCTTCCTTCGCACCGTACGTAGCCAACCGTGCTCATCGGAGGTGCGGGGGAAGGAGGACAAACTAAACACAACAAGCAGTTCTAAAGAAATGAGTTTTCAATCAAGTTGATGATTTAAAGGTGCACAGCTCCAGTGGCTTCCTAATATCGGAGGGAAGAGCATTCCAGACATCTGCAGAAGTGCATCTGAAAGCGCCGTAAGATGCGGCGAGTCTTCGATGTTCACGTGATTGTGCTCCTTGACGAGGTCAGCAAGGTATTGGTGGTTCATTTGTGGCAAGCACTCTGTGCGTGTAACGAGCTAGAGATCAGGGTTCGGTCGGCGAGCCTCGCCAACCCATCGATCGCACCGCGATGAAGATGACCAGTCGGCCCAGGGTCCAGACTTGAAATCGCAACCTTCCGACTGCTATATCGAGAGTTCCGTCTGGCCCTTTTGCCGGCTGCGGTCACATGACACGTGCACGCGAGGAGGGAGGGAGGGGGGCGGCACCTGAACAGGAGCTCGGTGGTGGCAGCCCCTTCCTCCGCGAAGAACGACGCCGCGAGCGACTCTAGCACAGCGATCGGCTTCTCCTCCACAGCCTGAATCGACACAGACGGCAGACAGACGTTCCACACCTCGCAACGACCAGAGCTACTGGAGCGGTCACGACAGACAGACGTTCCACACCTCGCAACGACCAGAGCTACTGGAGCGGTCACGACAGACAGACGTTCCACACCTCGCAACGACCAGAGCTACTGGAGCGGTCACGACAGACAGACGTTCCACACCTCGCAACGACCAGAGCTACTGGAGTGGTCACGACAGACAGACGTTCCACACCTCTCAACGACCAGAGCTACTGGAGCGGTCACGACAGACAGACGTTCCACACCTCGCAACGACCAGAGTCGGAGGGACCCGGCGATAAATCCGCGCGACCACAGGTAGAGAGAGAGAGAGACGCGCACAAACTCCATATATACAACAGGCGTCAGGGGTCGGGATCAAAACCCACGACCTCCCGCATACCGGGCGAGGCAGTTAACATCTTGAACTCAACACCGACATCGACGGACGCTCCCCGACCTCGCGACGACACCTCACGGGGGGCGCGACCACATCATCTAGCCCCGGGCGGACCCCTGCCGTAGCCGTAGCCGTAGCCGGCGGCAAACCCCCGGCTCCGCCGCTCACGTGGGCGGCGAGGAACTTGGCGCAGTGGTAAGCGAGGCGCGCGTCCCTCGGCCGGCGCAGCAGGGCCCCGAGCCAGGCCCTCGCGCCCTCCGCCGCGTCGCCCCTCTGCACGAGCGTCTCCGCCAGCGCCGCGCACGCCTCCAGCTCCAGCGGACCCCCGGCAGCCTCGGCGCAGATCGCGCCGCACAGCGCCAGCGCCTCGTCCCAGCTGCCACCGCGGGGGGGGGCAGGGGTGGTGTTGGAAAAGGGGGCGAACGAGGACGTACGGGACCGTGAGGACGTGGGGGGGGGGGGGGGCACGCGGTGGCAAAAAGTTCTCCCTCGCCTGGGATGCGGGTCGCGGGAAGGCCCCACTGAGCTACGTAGCTCTTTTTCCAGAAGTGACCTGGCCACAAATGATAGCTCAACGAAGTGGCTTTTGTGCAAATGTATCGCAGCCAAATACTCTAAACGCACGTCCATTCTGAATGTGGAGGGGCAGAGCGGAGGAGCTCAAAAAGAGCTATCCGCTCGGTGGGACTTACCCGGTAAAATTCTAAGTTTAGTTCACTCTAAGCTCCCGCAAGCGCCGTGGGCGAGCACCTACGAAGGCCGGCACGGCGCACGAGGAGCTGGTGTTGCCGTCACGGCACCACGGCACCACGGCCGCCTTCGTCCCCCCAGCGCCGATGTTCACACGCCGCACCACCGGGAGCTCGTGTAAGGTGGAATCGACGTTGGGGGAGGCCCCGGGAACCGGTTCTGATATCAGACGCCACCGACGCGGGCCCCGTGACTCGAAGCCAGAGCCAGGCGGCCGCGTTCGTAGCGCGGTGCGCGCTCGCCCATCAGCCCGGATGTTTGGAAGTCGTTCGTGCGTGGCCCTCGGGAAGTAAGGGAGAGGTTTCCCGCAAACGTAATCCACGAGACGCGGGTGTTTTTCGGGTAGGCGTCGTTCCCATTAAGCGGCGGGCGTATGAATGTTAAACTTCTTTCCCACCGTACGTAGACAAATGTGCTCGTCGGAGGTGCGGGGGAAGGACGACAAACTGTGGGTCTCTGCGCGAGCCGCGGGGGCGAGGGAGGTAAACACCTCGCCACCGCGACGCCCCACGTAACAACATGGAACACGGCACGTGGGGGGGGGGGGGGGGGGGGGGGGGCGGCGGGTAGGGCAGGGTAACATGGAGACACGGGGGGGGGGGGGGGGGCAGCACCAAGCGCGGCTGGCGGGGCGCGTGAGAGCGGAGGACGCACCTCTCGCACAGCGCGTGCACGCGCAGTGCGTTCCTGTGGATGGGCAGGCACGCGGCCAACGTCTCTGCTCGGGCGTCGCCACTGCCGTCGCTGCAGTCGTCGTCAGCGCCGCCCGGATCACTGGAGCAGGCTCGCACGGCCTCTGTGTTGCGTGGCGGAGAAGGTGGGGGGGGGGGGGCGGGGGGGGGGGAGAAGTTGCGGGCGCGTCGTGGTGTACCGTGCGCAAACACCCGTACGGCTGGCTCGATGGGGGAAGCGTCGGCTGATATACCACACTATAAACTCGTTTTTTGTTTTCGCAGGTAAGGCCGACTACTGAGCTATTTTACAGCCCCTTTGTCACAAGCGGCCCGGGCCGCACATGATAGCTCGACCGAGTTGCTTTGTCATCGCGTGGAAATTTATCGCAGCCAAATACTCCCAACGCGTGACGTCGATTCCAAACGTGGAGCAAAAAAAATCCAGAGGACCCGGAGAAAAATCCACGCGCAAAATCCATCCCTACTCTTTGGTTCTATTCGGTGAAGTCACGTAGGTACAAAATAAAACAGCAAAAAATCACGACGTTTCGGCCACAACACAAGCGGCCTTCATCAGGTCCGTTGTTGCCGAAACGTCGTGATTTTTTTGTTGTTTTATTTTTTACCTACGTGACCTTTACCGAATAGAACCAAAGAGAATGGATCCTTGCAGTCACGAAAGCTTCAAATCTAGAAAATCCATCCCATCGGCACCTCCGATTGCCACGGTTGGCTACGTACGGCGCGAAAGAAGTTTAACGTGCACGCAAACTATTGTACCAAAAGTCAAAGCGGCGATCTCTCTGCCCGCAGTAAAAACGCTGCGCGCGTACCAGCCGACCGGTAAACGGCACCCCCCCCCCCGCCCCCCCACCCCCTCCCTCCCACCCCGTGCCAGAGACCCTCCCCCCCCTTACCCTGCAGCAGCGCGAGCAGCGCGGCCGGCGGCGTCTTGAGGTCGCCGCGCCGGCGCCAGGGCAGCACGAAGGGCTCCTTGCGCACGAGGGCGCCGGGCAGCGAGCAGGCCGGGTCGGCGAGGGCGGAGGGCAGCTCGCCGAACTCGACGGCGTGAAGGTAGGAGAGCCACGCGACGGCGCGGTCGGCAGGCAGCAGCAGCGCCGACACGCACGGCTCCCGCGTCGCCTTTTGCCGCTCTTCCTTCCCGGCGGTGCCAGCGGCAGTCAGCGCTTGCTGCGGGCGGGCGGACGGACGGACGGACGGACGCGCGTGTCGCCACGTGTAAGAGACGCGCACGCGCGCACCCTCCCGTAGAACCAACGCTGCACGCAGATTAACGAGTTCTCGAGCGGTGTCATGGACGGAGGTTGCGTGGAAGTCGTTCGCGCGCGGGGCCCTCGGTAAGAGAGAGGTTTCCCGCTGCCGTGATCTACGAGACACTATCCCGGGTGTGCTTTTCAGGTTGCGTTGTTCCCATTGAGTGACGATTTTATGCAATTGGCCGCTCGTGTTTCAAATTCACTACGTACGGTGCCTCTCCTTTTTACGCTCTCTTCTTTCGCACAGTATATAGCCAACCGTGCTAAATCGGAAATGCGGGGAGAGAGAGAGACGTGTAAACTCCACATACACAACAGCAGGCGTCAGGGCTGGGATCGAACCCACGACCTCCTGAGTTAACATCTCGCCACTGCGCAAGGAGAGACGTTACACAGCTGGGATCGGACGTCGGCTGGACCGAGACACCTCGCTACAAACCATGACAGAGACGGAGAGAGAGAGAGACACGCACAGGGAAGGGGAGGTCGGGTCGCGACTGCAGCTAGCGCCGTGGCGAGCGCCAACCGGCGGGGGCACGACGGCTCGTGCGCACCCGGAAGATTGCGAGCGCCAGCTGCAGGCGCCCCGTGCAGACGTTGAGCTGCACGCGGTAGAGCAGGGCCTCGAGCAGTCGGTGCGAGTGCAGGCGTCGGTCGGCCGGCGCCACCGCCGGCGCCGGCGCCGCCGCCGGCGCCGGCGCCGGCGCCGTGGCCACGAGGAACTGGAGCAGACGGGAGCAGACGTAGTCCTTGCCCTCGTACGTCCGCTCCAGCGAGAGGTACTGTGATCGCACGCACGCAGACAGAGACGTGAAAAACCAAGACGAAGATTTGCCCCGCGCCCCCTCCGTGGCCTTTCACAGACTGCCGAGTGAACACCGATGAAGGGCGGCACGGGGCACAATGCGGTGGTGTGGCCAGGGCCACGCCCGGCCACCTTTGTCTTCCCAGTGCTGATATTTACTTGTCGCAACAGGCTACGCGTCACCACGGCGCTGGTGACAGGCCACGTGAACTCCCGAGGCACGTGGCCTGGCACCAGCGCCGTACGTTGACCGAATACACAAAGACAAAGATCCCCCGTATAGCCTTAACAGACTGTAGGGGCAAGTGCTGTTAGCGAGCACCTATGAAGGCCGGAACGGTACACGAGGGGGTTTGTGGCCAGCACCACGCCCGACCGCCTTTGTCTCCCTAGTGGCAATGTTTACACACCGCACCAGGTACTCATTTGAGGCTGAGTCGACCTAGGGGAGGCCCGGGACCGGTTCAGATAATCGTCACTGGTGTTGGCCGTGAGCGGGAATCGAACCCGGGTCGCCAGGTTCATAGCGCAGCGTAGCGCTAACCGCTACACCATCGCTCCCCACACACACACACACACGCGCGTACAATAAAGCCTCCCCATATAGCCTTGAACAGGGCTGTTGGGGCAAGTGCTGTTATAGCGAGCACCTATGAAGGCCGGCGCGGCGCACGAGGGGGGGGGGTGGGGTGGCCACAGCATCGCGCCTAGCCGCCTTTGCCTCCGCAGTGGCGATGTTTACACACCGCACCAGGTACTCATTTGAGGCCGAGTCGACCTAGCGGAGGCCCCAAGGGACCCTGTTCAGATAATCGTCACCGGTGCGGGCCGCGAGCGGCAACCGAACTCGTGTCCGCGCCGCACCGCCCGCTACCACACTACCACTCCACCGCGCCCGCGCGTACGCGTACGCACCTGCCACCACAGTCCGTGGTCGGGCGCGTAGCCCACGGCCACCTCGCACATCTCCTGCAGCTCCTCGTGGCTGCCGACGCAGCCGGCGAACAGTGCCAGGTAGCGACCCCACACCTCGCCGCTGCTGCGGTTCACCTCCAGGGCGCGCGACAGGCAGTTGAGGGCCGCGTTGAGCGCATCCGTGGGGTCGCTAGGGTGGGGGCGTGGCGGCGAAGGTCGCAGTGGGACCGGGGGGGGGTTGGGGGCGGTGGGACGGGAGCGGAGGGGCGGGGCGGGATGGAGGTGTGGGAGCACACCGAGGAACAGATTATTCGTGTGCGTGTATTGTTTACGTTTACGTATAACCGCTCAACCCGAGCTAGGAATCTTCGCATCGCCTTTGTGCCGTCCACCGTTTGGCGTCGTTTCCCTGCCGCAACACAGCGGTGGTGAGACAAGGCCATAAAGGGGCCCCCCCACCCCCCCCCGTGTCTCTGGCGAAGGCCAAATCAGTTTCAAGGACAGTGCAACACATCACGAGACCTCCCCCTTGCCAGTATCAAAATATAGGCATAGGTTTTACCCTTTCTGGCAATAAAACAGTTGTGTTAACATGTTAAAACACCAAACTGAAGCCAGTATTCAATTACGATAATAGGGTTTTCCCTTTTCTGAAAGTAAAACAGTTGCGTTTAGATGTTAAAACACCAAACAAAAACCTTTTACAAGGAACGATGTCTGCATTAACCGCATATACTTGTGGTGAACATGCAACAACAAAAAAACATGCTCCGATAGTATATGCATCGTCTTTTAAACCGATTGGTCCACATCTTTGAGCCTAGTCTCAAAGAAAGCTGCCTGGCGGAGCCTGACGCAGCAGTGCCGTACTACCGGCGTGCGTGCAGGGTGGAGGGGGGGGGCGTACCACTCGGGCTGGTGGAGGTACTTGTAGGACAGCTTGATCCACAGCTGGATGTCGCCGGGGCTCCGCTCCACGGCCTCCTCGAGGCGAGCGGCGTCGTCCGAGCCGACGCTGAAGTAGCGCTCGCTGCACGCCGCCGCCACCTCGACCTGTCCGGACGGTGCCACGGCTGGACCGGCTACACGGGCACGTGGTGGGGTGGGGGGGGGTAAGAGGGGGGGGGGGGTGGTGTGTGGCAGAGACTCGCATCAGCCCGGTCTGTCTGGGGCGGTAACCCGGAGAGTATTCCCGCACCCGGATGATCTGCGTTTGACTAGCGCCAAACCATCGGGCGTCACCGCGTCCACTCGCGACCGTGTCCACGCGTCACCGCGTCACCGCGTCAGCTCGTCACCGCGTCACCGCGTCACCGCGTCCGCTCGTCACCGTGTCCGCTCGCGACGGCGTCTGCGCGTCACCGCGTCACCGCGTCTGCGCGTCACCGCGTTTGCGCGTCACCGCGTTTGCGCGTCACCGCGTCTGCGCGTCACCGCGTCACCGCGTCTGCGCGTCACCGCGTTTGCGCGTCACCCTGTCCACTCGCGACCGTGTCCGCGCGTCACCGTGTCCGCTCGCGACCGCGTCTGCGCGTCACCATGTCTGCGCGTCACCGTCACCGTGTCCCCGCGTGCGTCCGCGCTCAATCTCTCACACTTGGCGGGCCCGGGGAGCGCCCCGCGGTCGCCGTCGTCGCCGCCGCTCTCGCTGTCGCTCCCGCCGGCCGTCCCCGCCGCGTTTGTCTTCCTCACGGCCACGGGCCGCCACGCCCGCCGCTCCTTGAACGTGGTGAAGGGGGGTTCTGCGGTGGTGGTGGGGAGGGGGACGGTACCAGTCAGCGCGAGTCTCCGGAGCAATGGCGTGTCACTAACCCCGACCCTACCAATCCCCTTGTTAGCCGCACGTGGTTAACACAAACCCCTCCACCGTCACCCGGCCCACCGAGCTCACCCCGCGGTTTTACAGCTGCTGCCTTGTGGATCACCGCACAGACGATGTGCGAGACTCCCTTCCCGTTGCCGCCGAGGAAGAGGTGCTGGACCCCCTGGCTAGCCAGGAGAAGGCGGTCTCGCACAGTGCGGACTAATATCACGTCGTCCCCATTGTATCGCAGAGAGCGCTCCGGGTTTGGGGCGAAACAATCTAGACGTGTGGAGGACCGCAGAACTCGGGCAATTGTTGGCAGCACCGGCCCGCCGCCTGGCTGCTGCCTTCCCGCTCGACCGCGATTCCTCCTCCCTTTCCCTCCGAGAGCGAGCGAGTACTGTTACCGATGCCTGTCGGCAGTCGTGAGCGAGCAAGAACGGTGGCGGTGCCGTGGCAGCCCGGCACGCTCGCTAGCGGGAGTCACACTCACGCTGGCGGGCCCGGTCGCTGACCTTGCCGCACTACGAACCCGGCGACCCGAGTTCGATTCCCGCTCACGGCCAACACAAAGTGACGATTATCCGAACCGGTCCTGGGCCTCCCCCCTAGTTCGACTCGGCCTCAAACGAGTACCTAGTGTGGTGTGTAGTAAACATTGCCACTGAGGAGACAAAGTTGGCCACCCACCACCTTCACATGTGCCATGCCGTCTTTCATAGGTGCTCGCTCAAAGCACTTGCCCCAACGGTCTATTCAGGCTATACGGCAGATCTCTTGTCTTCGTCTTTGGTGGTGGTGGCGGCGGTGGCGGCGATGGTGGTGGTGGTGCCGCGGAGGGGGCCCGGCATGCATGACGACACTCACGGTGGCGGGCGCGCTCGTTGACCTTGCCGACGAGCAGCACGGCCACCTGATCGGCCGTCACGCGCTCCGTGTTGGGGCCCAGTACGCCGCGCACGTAGCTCTCTACGCGAAGAGCGGCGAGGGCAGGGGAGAGACGCCGCCTTCGATTAGCGCGGCCGGACATACGCACGGCGGCGCGAAAGGGGAGTTCGAAGTACATGCGTGCGTACCCGACCACCCTCCACCCCCCACCAAAAATAGAGAAGAAACCACGCAGTGAAGACGTCGTCAAACGAGCCACCGATTGGGCACGGCCACGGTACTCCTACGTAGCGGTCAGCTGTCGATGACCCGGCGTGCAAATTAGGCGACAAGAACGTAAGGTTGTGTTTACCCACTTACAGTTAATTATACGTGCTCTGAAGAAGAGCCATTGCCAAAAAACGTTGTCTACTACCTATTTTAAAGGACACTTATCGACGAATGGATGTGTTGAGACTTAGATTTGATTTTTTTTTACTTTGAATGGCGGCGAACATGTAAGATTGTCTCCGCCGTTTTCTATTGCTTCTTGAGTTGAGTCGGATTCAGGGCGGTGCTGGTGGCGGAGTGGTTAGCGCACCCGGGCAATGGACCCAGCGACCAGAGATCCATTCCCAACCACAGCTATCTCTTCATTAGGTATGTACGTTGAACGTCTTTCGCACCGTACGTAGCCAAACAGAGGTGCGGCGGGGGGCGGGGGGGGAAGAACAATAGGCTAAACACAAAAATCAGTTCCAAAGAAATTAGTTTTCAATCGAGAAGCTGCTCGCCGACAGCACTTGCCCCAACAGTCTGTCAAGGCTAAAATACAGGGGGGGATCTTTGTCTTTGTTGAGCGTGCGTGCGTGCGTGGTGCTTTACCGGCCGCGGCAACTATCTGCTTCGGGGAACTTTCACTTGTACAGCCCAGCAGGGGGAGGTCATACGAGAGGATGTCTTGGAACAGCTCCTCCCGGCTCAGAGTGCAGTCCGCCATGTGCTGCCTGTACCAGTCAGTAACAGCCACATAACAGCAGCAGCAGCATGAGTATGGGGAGGGTTGTTGTTGTTGTCGTCTTTTTTGTAAGTTAGGTCACCATATAGCTCAACGAATTGGCTTATCACGTGGTAAGTCAAAGCAGCCAAATGATTCTAATTGCGAGGGGGGGGGGGGAGAAAAAGCCACGTGACCACCGGGAGAGACGAGAGAGAACACGCAAACTCCAAGTATAACAGGGCCACGCCCCAACGTGGACACCTCAAATTAGTAACCCAGAGCAGCGTGAAAAGGCATCAGCACCGGGGGAGACAAAGTTGGGCCAGGCGTGGTGTTGCCCACCCAACCGCTCGTTTGCCGTGCCGACCTTAATCAATAGGTGCTCCGCTAACAGCGCTCGACCCACCGGTCTGTTAAAGGGGTGGGTGGGGAAATCTTCATCTCTGTACCAAACTCGGCACTGCTGCTGCAAAGTCTGCGGCGCGGGCGAGTCGGCTCATTCAACCTGGAGGGAGCCGTCGCGCGTGTTCTGCCGTCTCACGTCTCACCAGGGGCAGTCCTCGTCGTTGCACGTCCCCGTGAGCTCGAAGTGACAGAAGCTCCAGCGCGGCTCCACCTTGTTGCTGAAGGACGGCGAACTCAGCAGCAGCTGCTCCTTGGTGCGGAAGTACGTGCTGAACCTAAACACCCAACGGAGACAAAGATTCCCCGCCCCACCGTGTAGCCTCAACAGACTTTCGGGGCAAGCACCTGTTGCGTGCGAGCAGCAGCAACCACAAAAGGTCGGCACGGCACGCGAGCGCGGCGGGGTGGCCGGCACCACGCCCGGCCGCCTTTGTCTCCCCAGTGGCGATGCTTGCACACGCTGCCAGGTACTCATTTGAGGCCGAGTCGACCTAGGGTAGCCCCAGTTCAGACAATCGTCGCTGGTGTTGGTGGCGGTGAGCTGGAAGCGAACTCGGGAGGGGCCGAGAGTTTGTAACGCAGCGCGGTAAACGCTGCTACACAACCGCCCTCCGCATCAACGCCAGACACGCTTGGACACAAACAGAACACTAACCCATACAAACACACACGAGCAAAAACACGAGTGCACTCAATTTGACAGACGTACGCAACACTAAGATGCACAGAGGCACGCAGCAGACACACACACACGGACATGCGTACAAACACAGACTCGCGCATTACTGGCACACACGCGCACCGTACATATATTTACACGAGACGCATAAACAAGACACCCACACAAAGATGAGTTTAACACATAGTAGTAGGCTTTAACACTGAGGGGAAGGAGCCAGGGCTGATTGAACTCGGTGGCGGTGCGGACCCACCTGTAGGTCTTGAACGCGAGTAGCGGGCTCTTGTAGGGGCCAAACGGCTCGGCCACGCAGTCCCGGACGGCCGGGCGCGACAGGCGCACCAGGTCCACGCCCGTCACCACATCCTGACGAGGCGGGGGGGGGAGGGCAAGAGCGGTGATCAACGCGGAGCGATAGTAACGACCCTGTCACTATATTCCTGGTTCTTTCGGTAAAGTCACCACGTAGAAGGGAAACAATAAAGTAATAAAAATATAAAACAATTAAATTCTCACGACGTTTCGACTGCAACACAAGCAATCATCTTCAGGTGTGAAAACCACAGCAAGAAAATTTGAAAAAAGTGGCGGTTTTTTTAACGTTAGCACCACGGAGAGCGATTTGGCAGTTATTCAGATGGACGAGTCCATCTATATTCTTAGTTTTTTCGGTAAAGTCACGTTGAAGAGAAACAACAAAATAACAAAATATATATAAAACGGATATGCCCAATGCCCAATGCATATCCGACCAGGAACACATAAGCAGTGAACTCAAGCACGTACACCAAGCTCTTAGGGCTAATGGTTACTCCGACTATACAATCCGCAAAGCTATCACTCAAACCATGAAGAAGAACCCTCTTGAGGAGCCTTTCAAAACCATCACTTTACCCTACATTGCTGGGATCACAAAAAAGATCTCCAAAATCTTGAATAAACACAAGATCCAGGTCCGTTTCAACACATTACATAAAATCCGTGATCTGGCGTTTGGAGAAACCAAACGCCATATCTCGGACCGCATTCGTGAACATAAAGCAGACCTTAAACACGGTAGGACCAACACCTCGGCCGTAGCAGATCATTGTTCTAATTCAGTAGGCTCACATGCCATTGACTTTTCCAAGACGGAGGTTCTTTGTAAGCCATCTGGCTTCCATGAGAGATTCGTTCATGAGGCTATCCACATATACAAACACAGACAATTTCAACCGAGAAGATGGATTCTATCTTAGCAATCATTGGAAAGATTTGATAAATCATTTCAGTTCTTGATTGATTGTTCACGCTTACAGTGGCTTTCAGACAGCATACATAAAAACAAATTTCGTCTCCCCCCTCCTCTTTTCAAAAAATAGATGGACTAGTCCTGGCAAACAGCCAATCGTTGCGCGTGACGCAAACGTTATTTTATATATAAATAAATATGCCGTTTTCAAAATAAATTTATGCAAACCGACACACCTGATGATGACCGTTTGAGTTATGGTCGAAACGTCGTGAGAATTTTTTATTGTTTTATATATATTTTGTTATTTTGTTGTTTCTCTTCAACGTGACTTTACCGAAAAAACTAAGAATATGAATTACTGCAGTCACGAAAGCTTTAAATCAAAATTTAGAGTCCATCTATGTTCGGAAAAGAGGAGGGGGGAGACGAAAATAATGGATGCAGTCTGAAAGCCACCGTAAGCATGAACAATCAATTAAGACCCGAAATGGTTTATCAAATCCTTCCAATGATTGCTGTGGTTTTCACACCTGATTGAATCGGTTTTTATCTTTTTTAAATTGGTTGCACTGTTTAGCAAAAAAATCTGAACACCTTCTTCCCGTCTCGCTACAATGAGTTTGAGAGCCACAGTTGTGATTTAAACTAAAATTATTTTTATTTCACCAGGTAAGGCCCACGGAACTATATAGCTCTTTTTCGGAAAAAAAACGTGGCCACAAATGATGGCTCAACGAAGTGGCTTATCGCGTGGAAACTTACAGCAGACAAATATTCTAAATGTGGAGGGGAAAAACCGGAGGACCCGGACAAAAATTCACGTGACCACGGGGAGAGAAACACGCAAACTCCAAATAGACAGCTGTCGTCAGGGTCCTGATCGAATCCACGACCTCCTGTATACCAGGCGAGGTAGTTAACATCTCCTAGCCACCGCGGCTCGCACAAAACAACAGGGCTGCTGTTTCGCCGACACGTCAGCCGTGTCGGCGAAACGGCGCCAGGCTTTTCGCCGGAAGCCAGCGTTTAAACCGACGAGGCGTTGGGCCCCGCTGTGGGGGAGTTTTACCTCCTCGCTGCTCGTCGGCCCCTCCGCCGGCAGCAGCATCCTCGAGAACTGAGCAAGCACCGCCTCCAGCTCAAGGCCCTCGGCCTCGGCCTGGGCCAGCAGTCCCAGGTCTCCCCCTGCCACCGCCTTGCCGGCACCGGCACTCTTCTCCGCCGTGCCCGCGCCCTTCGCTCGCCCGCGTCCCACGCCCCTGGCTCCGGCCGCCCCTCTCCGGCGCTTGCTGGACCTCGTCACCGGCTGCCGGGCAACCTCGACCTCCGGCGCCGCAGCCACAGAGCCGCGCCCGGTCCTAGCGGCCCCGACGGCTGTGGCGGCCGCGGGAGCCTCCGGGCCACCGCGGAGCCGGCTTGGCGTCGCGTCCTTGCCCGACAGGCCGTCCGCCCCGGGCAGGTTGGGTCGCGTGACGAGGCCGCCGCCCGTCAGGGAAAGCCGGCGCGGCGTGGTCGCGCTCGTCGGGGAAGTCGGAGGCCCCGGCCGCTCGCCCGGCGCCGCCGCCCCTGCCCGTGCCGGCGTCGCCTGCGCCGCCGCGTCATCGGCATCCCCCTCCTCGACGGGACCGAACGTGAGCTTGTCCTGCGAGAGGTCGTGCAGCGACGGTTGGCTGACGGTGGGCGCGGCCGGCGGCGTTGACAGGGCCTGCCCGCTGCACCGCGCGCTGCGCAACCTGCCGCCCTGCAGCGCTTTCTTCTGCCCCTCGGTGGCGGCGACCGCGGACATTTCGGTGACCGCGGCCATTTTGACTGCGGCGATTTTGACGACCGCGGCCACTTCGGCGACGGCGGCGGCGGCGGCGGCAGCCGCGGCGGTGGCAACTGCCACGCCGGTCTTCGGCCGCGCCGGGCCACCGCCGCTCTGCGCCGCCTTGAGACGCCGGATCTTCTCGGCGTACTCCTGCTCCAGGCCCTGCAAGCGGAGCTTCTCGCGCGCGATAAACTCCTGCCGGAGGTTGCTGGGGCCGCCCCCGCGGGCCGGGTCCAGCTTCACGCGCTTGGTCACCTGCGCGGGGGGGGGGGGGGGGGGGGGGGGGGATGGGGGCACCCGGACAGTTACACCGCTCCACTCCCGCAAAGGATCGCGACGGCATCGCTGGTGCCCCACAAGAGCGGCCGCAATGATCAGATGGCACGACAGTTCGATATGGGGTAGTGACCCCCCCAAAGAGACATTATGGAGGTGTGTGTGTGTGGGGGGGGTACCATCACCGATGACCCAAATCACCCAGAATGCACCCCCCCATCTAGTCGAGGCTCCCAAGCCAAGGAGGGTTGGGAGCCCTGAACAGCGCTCGAGAACGGCGACCTCCATCAATAAAACGGCAGCAGAGGGTGCCGCAGACAAATACATCGTTGTGCTGTATTACGCTGAAACGTCTATGTTCCCCGTCTTCTCCAACCCGCGCACCGGAGCAGCACGGTGAATTATTGTCGAACAACTCCCATGGCGCAGGGAGGCCCTCAACCAGTAGTCCACTCATTGATTGGCTGATAACATCTTTTTTACATATGGAGGTCCGCAGAGCTTGGGCAATTGTTGGTTGTGCCGGTTCACTGCCTGCATGCTGCCTTCCCGCTCGTCCGGGCCCGTTTTCTTTCCCTCCACGAGAGCGAGCGATTACTGCACGGCGGCAGCGAGCTACACGTCGAAATCGTATCAAATTACCGTCGACCACCAAATGTGTTTGCCGGCCAAACATCCCAACATCAGACCACAGAACTCTGGCTCCCCTGATTTAACCCCCCCCCTCCCCCACCACCGCGTTGTGGTTTTCTCACACCAACGAAGGTACGTAAGAACGCAACCGTTATTATTCTTATTCTTATTTCATTTTACAGAGCCGTCATTCATGCAATTGCCCATCCCACAGCGCTGCCACATTACATATCCAGTCCCTTACACAGATGATACAAAAACAAAACGCCGCTAACTTCTCAAATAAAAAAAAAACTCAAAGATAAATACATGAATAATGAGGAAAAAAATACACGTAACAAGAAAATGATCGTCACAGAAAAAAATTAACTAAAACAAATAAATCCGTTCGGTCTCCGTACACCAGACCACAATCCCAACATTGTCGCGGTATTTTGGAGTGGCGGAGTGGCCAAAAAGTTACGAGCCATTTGAAACATCATATAACTGACTATTTTCCAGCGTATGCCTGGACAAATAAATAAGCCTTTAGTTCAGATTTGAATAAGTTAATCGATTCGATTTGTCGGATGCGTAGCGGGAGAGTGTTCCAAGACCGGTGGTGATTTAAATGATTAAATTACCACCGGTCCCACACACAAGGACGACTCACTGGCAATCCTCCATCTCCGACGCCGGCGAGCGGCTGCGCCAGGCGGCTGACGTTCGGCAGCCCCTTGCCCAGGTGCTTGCTGACGAGGGCACGGGCCCGAGCCAGCTCCTCCTCCAGCTGCCCCACCACAAACGCCTTCGAGTCCATCCGCTGCTTGATGCGATCCACCTGGGGGAGACGTTTTTTTTTATTAAGAAAGGGCACGGACGACGCGACGGATTGATGTGGCGCAGTATTACCGCACCACTCCCCTGCGACCCCACCAGCCCGGCTTACTTCGTGGACATGAGGTGGGGAGGGTGAGGTGAGGTGGGACGGTTGGGTGAAGGGGGGGGGGGTGAGGGTTGAGTGAGGTGGGAGAGTTGGGTGAGGTGAGGTGGGAGAGTTGAGTGTGTTGAGGGTGAGGTGGGAGGGTTGGGCGAGCTGGCGTGAGAGGATTGGGTGAGAGGAGGTGAGAGAGGATTGGGTGAGGCGAATCAAAGCGATGTGCAGGAGGCGTAGGCCGAGAGGCGACGGATAACGAGAAGGGACGGACGACGATGCTGTCAGCGACGCGAGTGCGGGCTTTGAGGCGATGCTCATCGTGTAGCGGCGCGAGTCACAAATTGTGACGAAGTATTTGCGAAACGACAAAGGGGGAAGACGTAAATCGGGGTATGACTGCAGTGAGACATCACTCTGTACCAAATGTCAGCTTTCTACCCTGTCGGTAGGTGCCCGATACGTTTTTGAGACTTACATTAAGGTCTTTGTTTATATTGAAGATAAAAATTTGAAGTGATATCTTCCGTAATGTCACAGACAATATTGGCCGCGAAAGCGCTACGTGATTAAACCGAGCGGAGTGATATCTGCAGACAGAGTGGACCCCCCCCCCTACCTTAGTCAATCCTCACAGACCCGAATCGCAAAGTACGGGGAAAAAAAAGTCAAAGCTTCACTATCGACATCCAATAGGGGGGTAGAGGGCCTTCATCCAGCAGTGGATTAAAAGCTGCGACTCAATGAAATAGTCGGTCGATGGAGAGGAGGGACATGCTTTTACAAAACTTTCGCCAGCACGTTTAACCGGCGCCCTACTGATGAGAATGTGGGGGGCAGAAGGCTCAGATCTGGGCCCTGGTGCCGATTCTTCTGGCATTGAACGGGGGGCACGATCCTGGGCCTGACAGGAACCCGCTTCCCCCCCCACCCCACCCCGGTTGTGAGAGTGACGCGCGAGGTTCTTTGTTGGGTGAACTGCGGTGGCTAGGAGATGTTAACTACATCCCCTGGTATACAGGAAGTCATGGGTTCGATCCCGACCCCTGCTGTATACATTTGGAGTTTGCGTGTTTCTCTCCCCGCGGTCGGGTGGGTTTTTCTCCGGGACCTCCAGTGTTTTCCCTCCGCATTTAGAATCAACGTCACCCGTTTAAAGAGTATTTGGGCTGGTGTCAATTTCCACGTGATGATAAGCCATGTTCGTCTTGCAAGAGGTCGGGGATTCGATCCCGACTCCGACGCCTGCCGTATGTTCGGAGCTTGCGTGTTTCTCTCTCTCTCCCCGTGGATTTTTTTTTCTCCGGGTCCTCCGGTTTTTCCCCTCCACATTTCAAAACATTCGTTTCGAGCATTTGGCTGCTATAAATGCCCACGCGGTAAGCCACTTGTGGTTCAGCTATCATTCGTGGCCCAGGTCGCTTCTGAACAAAAAAAAAAGAGCCATACAGCTCAGTGGGCCCCTTAAGCTGGTAAAGCAAAAAGAGTCGATTTAGAATATTTTCGAGACGATATTTTAGCTCGCGATTTTTTCCAACGTTTTTTTGTTTGTTTGTAAATCCGACGCTCGCTCGCCTGCTCGTCTATCTTGCGCATCAGCGTGGAGTTGGCCGAGAGCACCGTCTCCGTGGCCCGCAGCTGCTCCCGCAGGCGCAACGCTTTCATCTCGGCAAGGCGGACGCCCTCCGCCTTCTTCTCCTTCTGCGCCACCAGCTGCGACAGCAGCAACGAGTCCTTGGCCAGCGCCTGCCTGCGAGCGCGACGCAAAGAGGAGGGAAAGGAGAACTGCGCGCTCGCGCGCGGCCAGACCATCCGTGCATTCCATCCGCCACGCACGGCGTGATTTGTTGGAACCGCGCGGATCACGGGGGGGGCGGACCACGGGGGCGGCGCCATTCTTCCGGCCAGGCCAACGAACGCAGTAATCCAGCCGCACAAGACCGTTGATGGTGAACAAGTGCCGTCCCCCCTTAGCCTCGCTTCCACCCGCAGAGCCGATAAAAAGTGCCCTTAAACAATCGTTCTCAGGGCGCTCACAAAGATAGGGCACCGTCCATGCACAGGATTGATACACAAACCGTTACAGCAGCCACACACACAGGGGGGCGGAGCCACAGGGGGGGCTAGGGGGGGGGGGCTGAGCCACCCCCCTTGAAATTCCAGTAGAATTTGTTTTATACATTTGTGGCGCCCGTTGGAAAACATGAACACACTGAGATATCTCAGAATATTGAAGTCAGCCCCCCCAAAGTCAAAATCCTGGCTCCACCCCTGCACACACATGCTACACCCCCACACACATACACATCTCTGACTCGTTGCAACCTGTCAGCACACACCGTACACACCACACACATTTCTGCCTCTCGAGCTGCGTCTCCGTGTCAGCACGCACCCCACACACGCTCCCAACGCACGCTCCCAACGCACGCACCCACCCCACGCACGCACCCACCCCACGCACGCACCCCACGCACGCACCCCACGCACCCACCCCACGCACGCACCCACCCACGCACGCACCCACCCCACGCACGCACCCACCCCACGCACGCACGCACCCCACGCACGCACCCCACCTCTGCCTGCCGAGCTGCGTCTCCGTGTCGGCGATGGTGCTGCTGAGCGCGGCGCTCTGTGCTCCGCCCCCGGGCTCCGTGTCGGTGTCCGATGTGGCCGGGGAACCTTGTGTGATCTCCATGCCCCCCAGCCTCAGTCGCTCGCGCCTACGTGGGAGGGGGGGGGTGCAGAGGGCAGGCAGTGGACAGACAGCGGTCAGCACGCTGCGCTATGAATCTGGCGACTGATCTTTGATGTAGAGCCACGGCTTACATCAGCGACCCGTGATATCTCCCGTGAACAATTCCTGAGCCCCTTCACCGATCCGCACCGACCGGCAGGGTAGGTCAAACCCCCTCTCCAGAGGCCCCTTCAGTTGATAATCTTTCACCAGCAGAGGCCCCAAGTAAGAACCCTGACCACGGCTAACACCAGTGAGGGAGTGACACCCGGGTTCTTCACCGGTTTGGTGGCCTACGGTTGAACAACCCCCAAGGCTGACATGGCATGGGGGGGGGGGGGGGGGGGGGGGGGGGGGGGGAGGCTTTCATCCAGCAGTGGATAGATTGACGGAGGGACGGACAGAGCTAACTTCACAAATGCCTCCAAACTTAGTTGGATGGGGTTGAAGAGGTCAAGCTCTATCCCAGTGGTGTAGGTACATGAGGGCAATGGACAGGCAGACCGAGGAGACTTCTCTGCAGACAGCGACCACTCTGGGCGCTGTCAGGCTGCGACAACGCACCGATGACGTTGTTGAGGATTGTGGTGTCAATATTTAAACTGATGATGACGATGGCAGTGGTGACATTAACGGCGATCGTTGTGATTACGGCGACGATGGCGACAATCACAATGGGGATGGTAATGACAAAACAACGATGATGGTATTTGGTAATGGCGACAATGGTTATGGATGGCGTCGTCAAGATCATGACGACGACGGCGATCGTGTCGAAAGTCGCGACGGTAACGACGGTAACCGTGACCGCGGTGAAAACGACGATGATGACAAGCAACGACATTCGCCCAGGTGACAAGTTGATCGATGAGGGTTGATTGGAACGGGGGGGGGGGGGGGCAGGGGTCTCCGTTACTTCATGATCTCATCCCGGAGCCGGCGGTATTCCGGCTTCTGCGCGTCAGGCATCGCCTCGGGCGTCTTCTGGGGGTCCCTGTTCTCTTCCGTGGCGTTCGACTTGGGCTTGGGTTTAGCTGCCTGTGGACGAAGACAAGGAAGCGTCGCGGTGGCGAGATGTTAACTCCCTCGCCTGGTGTGCAGGAGGTCGTGGGTTCGATCAAAACCCTCACATCTGCTGTGTATGTGGGGTTTGCAAGTTATCCCCGTGGTCACGTGGATTTTTTTTTTTTTCTCCGGGTCCTCCGGTTTTTTCCCCTCCGCATGTAAAAAGCATGCATTGAGATTATTTAGATATCGGTGGCATAAATGTCCAAATGATGGGCCACCTCGTTGAGCAATCGTTTGTGGCCAGGTCGCTTCTAAACAATAGGTTAACACCTCATACTCTCTGGTTCTTTCGGTAAAGTCACGTAGTTGGAAATAAAATAAAACAAGTCACAACGTTTCGATCGCAACACAAGCGGTCGTCATCAGGCAAAGGAGTCAATTACCTCACTTGGCTTTGCCTGGGAAGGAAGGGGATGGTTTAGTTTTATGCGTTTTGGCGATTCGTTTACCTTTTTTGTACTTTGCACTACTGTAGCGTTTTTGTACTGTTTGTTGTTGTAACGTTCTTACCCCGTGCCCCGACCTGACATCTGTGAAAAAGAGCTTTATAGCCAAATCCGATTCCTCCAGTGTAAATAAATAAACAGTAAAACCTTGGATTGCGAGCATAATTCGTTCCGGAAACGTGTTTGTAATCCAAAGCACTCGTATATCGGTTGTGATCACGTGACGCTCGGCAGTACAAAGCGTATACACGTACGCTGCTCGTATTGCGAGACCCTCGCTCGTTTATCAAATTAATATTTATTTACAAATGTTTTGCTCGTCTTGCAAAACACTCGCAGATCAAGTTACTCGCAATCCGCAAAGTGTCACTGCATTCTGATTCTGAGCAGTGCGACAATTCACCCTCGTCCACCCACAGCTTCCACGACTTGGCAATGTCCGAAGGTCAGGGTTGGTTTGGTAATGGGCTTTGGCAGTCCTCGGTCACAGCAGCACGCTAGACCATATTTATTTTACCAGATTCAAGATTCTGATTCTGCAACGAGCGCCGCTGGTCGCCGCGGACAAAGCGGAACAATCACTACGGTTGACGGCAAACAAACCCCGCCCCCCCCCCCCCCCCCCCGACTGAGAATTAATTCGTTAAAAGCATCGTAACTCGTGCCGATTAGATGGGGCGAGTGCGTGGCACGTCTATTCGTACATCTTGCAGGGTCCCAAATCCACCCCTGGGGTAATTGGTGGTCGTAGTCGTCTGGCGGGTAGGATCGCAGAGGAGGCCCCCCGTTGAGATCCACCAAAATCGACGACCGCGGCGTTTGGCGAATCGGCCACGCTGCCCGTCTGTACGTAACGTGCCGGACGGGCGATACGCGCGTGCGCGGGTGCGAGCGCGCGTTCGTACATCGGCCGTGCGTCGCGCCTCCTTGATCATCATCTCCAGCAGGCCGGTGCCGAGGAGCCGAGAGCCGATGGCGGCCGCCGCCTCGCCCTCCGTGTCCGAGTCGGAGTCCCCGCCGAGGCTCACCACCACCGACTTGTGCTGCGGAAGCTGAGGCCGCAGAACAATACAACTGTTATTCTTGGTTCTTTCGGTTAAGTCACGTAGAAAGGGAAACAACAAAGCAGTACAAATATAAAGCAATAAAATCGTCACGACGTTTCGACTGCAACACAAGCAATCATCATCACCAGGTGTGAAAACCACAGCAGTAATTTTTTTTTTTCAAATTTTTCTTTAACCGAAAGAACCAAGAATATGACTCCCTGCAGTCACGAAAGCTTTAAATCAAAATTTAATAGAACTATTAACACAAATCTGTTTAACCGAGTAAGGCCCCATCACTGAGCTACATCGCTCTTCTTCAGAAGTGACCTGGCTATCACGAGGGTACGAGCCGCGAGCGCTTTGATTTGCGCCACCAGTGACCAACGTGGCGAGTTGTTAACTACCTCGCCTGGTGTACAAGGAGGTCGTGGGTTCTATCCCCACCCCGACGTCTGCTGTTTATTTGGGAGTTTGCGTGTCTATTTCTCTCCCTGTGGTCACGTGGATTTTTTCTCCGGGTCCTCCGGTTTTCCCCTCGCATTTAGAATGAACATCGCGCGTTCGGACCATTTGGCTGCTGTAAATTTCGACTTGGTAAGCCACTTCCCGTTGAGCTACCATTTGTGGCCAAGTCCCTTCTGAAAAAGAAACTAATAGCCAAGTCGGCCTTGCCGGGTCTTCCACGTAAGGCCATGCGAGTCTGTATCTACAAGCGTGGAACACACATAGCGACACCACTGCCTTCGCGTCAGTCATTTTCCAGCAGTATTTCAGGCAAGCACCAGGGGCTACTCTTGAAGCCAGCAGTGTAAATGGGGCTCACCTCACCACGGTTAGTCGAGCGCAAGGATCGCATGCGGTGGTGGGGTAAAGTGTGGGTACTCCCACTTCTTTCGGGAAGTACGTGGCCGGCGTGGAAGAGTAGGTCAACTACCACTCGGGGAGGAGCTCCCGAGTGCTCCCCTCTACGGGAGGGCACGTTCCTCGAACACGAGCAGTTGGGTGGCCACGTTCAACTTTCACAGCACGCCAACAACAAGGCACCGTCACTACCGACGACGCGGCTCAGTACCGTGATCTTGGGTCGCTTGGCGGGCGGGATTCGCTGCTGCAGCCGCGAGATGCCACCGCCACCCGTGGCGGCGGTCGTGGTAACGGCGGCGGCTGTGGTGGCGGCGGCGATGACGCCGCTGCTGGCTGCGGTTGCAGCGGCGGCGGTGGGGGAAACGGTCGAGGGGAAGGGTGTCGGCGTCGCGGCCGAACGGGGTGCGGCGTCCATGCCGTTTCTGCTGATCGGCGTGGACGTCGCCAGCATGGACAGCAGCAGCAGCGGCGGCGGCGGTGGCGGTGGCGGCAACGGTGGCGGTGGCAGCGGTGACGATGTCTTCTCGGGAGCAGCCTCCAAGTCCGCCTCTTCCTTCTGTAAAACGATGCCGCATTGATCAGCAACTGGGACGCCATGCTAACTACCCTGCCGCTGGTATACACAAGAGGTCGTGGGTTCGTATCTCGACTCTTGACGCCTGTACATTTGGAGTACGCGTGTTCTCCCTGTGGCCGCGTGGATTATTCTCCGGCTCCTCCGGTTATTCCCTCCACATTCAGAATCACGCTTTTTAGAGTATTTGGCTGCTATAAATGTCCACACGATGAGCCACTTCGTTGAGCTATCATTTGTGGCAAGGTCGCTTTTGCAAAAGATGCCAATGGGCTCAGTGGTGGGGGGCCTTACCTGATAAAAATAACCACAGTAAATAAAACGTTCGTATTCAGCGCGAGGGAGGGCGCGTACACACCTCTGGCTTGGTCACACGCTTGATCTGAATGGACTTCAGCAGCTCCTCCCGCAGCAGCATCTCTTCCTCCTCCGCTTCGTCCTCGAAGGGGGGCTTCGGGGGCTGTTCGGGCTCCCCGGGGGGCAGGGGAGGGGGCTCGCAGGGCTCGGGGGGCACGGGACCCGGCAGGGCGGCCTCCACGTGTCTCGTCACCGCCGCCGCCTCCGTGAAGGACGACACCTAACGACGGAGGGTTAAGATTGAGGTGTCAAACACAATCGCGGACGGGCGCCCGCCCGCAGGCTGATGCAGCGTTCACCTTGCGCCTCACAGGGACAGCTGCGGTGGCGAGATGTTAACTACCTCTCTCCCCACGGCGGTCACGGTGGATTTATCTCCAGGTTCGCCGGTTTTTCCCCTCCACATATAGAATCGACGTGCTATTACCGTATTGGCCGCTATAAATTCCACGTGGCAACAGGCCCAATTCGTTGAGCTATGATTTGTGGCCAGGTCGCTTCTGAAAAAAGAGATGTATATGGCTCGGTGGGTCTTACCTGGCAAAAATTAAAAACGGTCAAAGAATTGTTAAGAAATACGAAACGATGACGATGACATCACGGCCAAAGCTGTTGATGCCGCCACCATCACTCCACCGCACCTCCTCGCCAACGCATTCTACGCTCGGCAATATTCGGCAGCCGTTGCCCAGCAAAGGCACGCAGCACAACCTCCAAGGTGTGCCCCTGAACAGTCTGCCCACCATTCGGCCTACTTAGGTCTTCTCTTCCCCTCGTCACCGGGACTTCATGGGTGCCGTCCAAATGCCGGTCTCGGCAACACACCCTGGACGCCAGGAGTCCCGCCCGGCAATTGCATGCCGGATTCTATCGAGTCCCTGGAACGGTGTGCGAGCATCAGCACCGTGGAGGCAAGGGCAGCCGGGGCGTGGTGCCGGCCACACCACACTCTTGGGTGCAGTTGGCTCTGAAAGTTACTTGCTAACAGCACTTTTCGCGACGACCTATGTAGGTTCTAAGGAGATCGCTGCATTTGTTTTTCTGTACCTGCGCGTGTGTGTGTGTGCCGTATGGTCTCACCAGGGCAGCGGCGGCGCAGCGGGCCGGCGCTAACACGCTGCCGCTACGAACCCTGCAGAGACACGAGTTCGATTCCCGCTCGCGGCCGACATCAGTGATAGCGATTACCTGCATCGGTTCTGGGCCTCTCCGAGATCATCTCGGCCTCAAATGAGTACCCGGTACGGTGTGCAAACATCGCCACTGGGAAGGCAAAGGCGGCCGGCTGTGGTTGCTGGCCACCCACCCCCTCGTGTGCTGTGCTGACCTTCATAGGTACTAGTTAACAGCACTTGCCCCAGCAGTCTATTCAAGGCTATACGGATGAGCTTTGTCTTTGTGTATCTCTATGTATATATCTCTCCGCGTCTCTGAGGGTGTGTGTCTGGAACTTCATTATCCGCACCTCCGATTGGAAGGCTGGCTACGTCCAGTGCAAAATAAGTTCAACATACATTCACAGGTGCTACCCGCTAACAGCATTTGCCCCAACAGTCCTGTTACAGGCTACACAGTGGATCCGTGTCCATCTTTTGGTCTCACCTGGAGCAGGCTGTGTGGCGCGAAGGCCTGCACGGGGAGGCCCAGGGATGACAATCCTTCCCCGTGTACGGCAAAGGGTTGCGGAGACACCACTGCAAACATGGGCACTGACATCATTTATGGTTTTATTGAGGAATTCAATAATTCTCTTCTAGATGCACTTAAAACCATGCACACACACGCACTCCCCTTCACTCCCTGACCCACCCACTCAGCGACTCACTCACCCACTCACCCAATGACGCACTCGTTCACTGAACCGTCCATTCACTCGTTCATTTGCTCGCTCGCGCACCAAACTCCTCACTCGTCTCTCGCAGAGCAGTGCAACCCTGCGCGTTGATGAAACAGCCTGCGGAAGCGGATGTCGCAGAGCCACCTCTGACACGGGGGCAAGCGGTCGCGCACTTTCCGCTGGCTGTTGCAGACGTTAGAGTGGTTCAAACCCAGCAGCAGCCTTGGTCAATACTGCGAGTATATTAACCGTAAACACTACGCGCTATCCCGCTTGACATTTGACGCTAAAGTTATTTGAAAAAAATAATAAGTGGCAAGGCCGCGGGTGCCGACAACAATCCAAAATTTGATTAAACGAGTCGAAAACTTGCTTGTGCCACACAGGAGCAGCTGCCACTCGGGGTTCTCCCTGTTAGCTTAGTCCGCTGCATTGCACCCCGAGATGTACTGCATAGAATGCGTCGTACGACGATTAGCCCCTTTCAAGTTCCAAGACGTCTGCAGGTTGCAGGGTGGGTTGTCCTTGTTGACTGCTGAATCTTGGAACGTTGCAAGCGGTTCAGCGTTCATTTTATTCAGAGGCATAGTAGCGCCGCTGCTTTTGAAGGCGTTGTTACTCGCCGCAGAGAACCGTAAGCGACACGACCGCACTCTACGATAGCTGGCGCCAAACTGTGACATACGCCCTCCACGCGTAACTTCGTGGGAGCCTCTCGGTACCGATAAAGTTATTTTATTACATTTTTCCTTCCGGTTCCGATGATGTACACGTACGTCATCGGAACGGGACAGTGCGAAGCGACAATTACGATAATGGCGACGATGACGTGATCATTCGTCCCCGGGGCGGACGGAGGGTGCGAGAGCGCGGTGCTTACTGGGCGAGTTGCTCTCGCTGTCCACCTCCATGGCAACCTCCTCGTAGTTGTCGTGCTGGAACAGGTTCGCCCGAAGCTCCGACACGCGCCGTTCCCGCGGCCTCCTCACCTCCACGTCTCCGGCCTTGGGGGGTGGGGGGGGGGGGGTAGGGGAAGTGACCAGTCAATCCCACGGTTGGCGAGCGCCAACTCCACCTCGGTGTCTCGCGCAAAAAAACCCACAGGGGTCCCCCTTGGGACCAAGTGAAATGACATCGCAGCAAGGCCGTGGGTTAACGGGCCCCTGGCGTTCAGGCGAGCGAGCGCGGACGACGGAAGAACGAAACCGGAAAACGACCCAGCGTGTTTCTCACTTCGCTACAAAGCGGGTGAATTTAATGCGCGCGAAACATCCTCGAGACCAGGGCGGAAGTCGTCGGCAGCCAAAACAACCGAGAGGAGCGATTTTTTTTCGAATTGGTAAAAAAAAAAACCCAGCCTTTCAAGAGCAGCAATGCACGTGGTGAATACGAGATGGCGGTCCTTAATAAATAACATCACGAAACAGCAGTTCCCTAAAGAGACGTGCGCGGGTTCGCAGCCGCAGGTAGACTCCCATGGTCAACTGGAGACTCCATGGCCAACTGGAGACTCCAAGAGCACCCATTGTTTTGGGGATTTCAAGAGCCGCCACTGCAGTCCTTGAAGAGCCGCAGCAGGTTGCCGACCCCTGCTGCCCAAGACGAAGATGGTCGGCGAAAACATTTCCCGGGCGTGGCGAACATGGCGCCGGCAAACGCGCGCGCCACCCACCTTTCCGCCGCCGGTGCCCGCGACGCCGGGAGAGGCGGCCGAGGCGCCGCCGCCAGCGCCGCCGCGGTCGCCCAGAATCTTCATGAAGCGCACGTACTGCTCTTCGGTGCTGGGCAGCTCCCGGATGCGCCGGATCTCGTCGGCCTCCTGCCGCCGGCGCTCGGCCTCCTCGTCGTCGCGCCGCCTCCTCCTCCTCACCGCCGCCGCCGCCATCGCCTCCTGCCGCCCCTGCCAGCTCCGAGTGCGCCCCACGGCGGCGGAGGATCTCGCGCTGGGGCGCGGAGGTGCTAGGGGCCGCGCCGCTGGCGTGCGAGCAGGCGAGGAGTGGAGATCGGCGAGGGGGGCGGGGGCGGGGGGAAGGTAGGGAACGGAATCTGAGTATTTGTCTGGTAAAATAAATATGGTTTAGGGTGCTGCTACGACCGAGGACCGCCACAGCCCGTTGCCAAACCAATCCCGAGGACATTGGCAAACCAATCCCGAGGAATCTGTGGGTGGACGAGGGTAAATATTCATTTACAGTGGAGGAATCCGATGAGCTATAAAGCTCTTTTTCACAAATGCCCAGTCAGGGCAGGTAAGAACGTTGCAACAATACACAGTACAAAAAACACGACAATCGTGCAAAGTACAAGAAAGTTAAACAAATCACTTTTTTTATCTATATATATAAAAGGGAAATTTGTGAATGTGTGTCTGTTCGAAATGTTTAGCATACTTCCCGACATGCAACAAACTTGAAATTTGGCGACTGGATAGCTTCCAGACTGTACACAATGCACAAAGTATAAAAATAGACTTTTGTATTTTGGGGGAGGGGGGGGGGAGTGCGCAATAATGGATATATTTTGCACGGCTAGTGAGCAGTAACGTCACATCTGTGATGTCACCCGCACGCGGCAGCGTCACGCAGTGTGCCTGCTGACGTCACGCATCCCCCCCCACCCTCCACGTAGGCCGTGTATTAATCCAAGACAAGAGTCCAAGTCCCGGGCGAAGCCGAGTAGTAAAGCTCGTATACAAATAAAACGAAACTGTTTTTTTCATCTTACCAGGTAAAGCCCACCGAGCTATTCACTTATTTTTCAGAAGTGACCCGACTACAAATGACAGTTCAACAAAGTGGCTTGTCATGCGGAAATTTCTATCAGCAAAAATAATCGAAATAATCGAAACGCACGTGTCTATGTGTGCAGGCACCCGGAACAAAAATAATCCACGCGACCACGGGAAGACACGCAAACTCCAAATATACAGCAGGTATCAGGGTCGGGATCTAACCCACAACCTCCTGCATATCAGGAGAAGATGATAACATCTCGCCACCGTGGCACAGCGGATATGATACCACGTTCTGCATGCACGCTACACCCTGGGTGCACTGTTTGGCAAATAAATCTGAACACCTTCCCGTCTCGCTACAATGAGTTTGAGAGCCACAGTTGTGATTTAAACTAAACTAAAACTATTTTTATTTCACCAGGTAAGGCCCACAGAACTATATAGCGTGGCCTCAAATGATAGCTCAACGAAGTGGCTTATCGCGTGGAAACTTACAGCAGACAAATATTCTAAATGTGGAGGGGAACAAACCGGAGGACCCGGACAAAAATCCACGTGACCACGGGGAGAGAAACACGCAAACTCCAAATAGACAGCAGGCGTCGGGGTCTGGATCTAACCCACGACCTCCTGCATACCAGGAGAAGAAGATAACATCTCCTAGCCACCGTGGCATACTTAAATAAATAAAGCGCTTAAGTTCGCGTGGGCGGGTGTGGCCAGCGACGATCGTTTCACGTGGCTCACGCCCACACGCCAGTGCGCAGGGCCGAAACGAGAAATATGTTGAGAGAGTTAATGTGACATCGGAGTGGAATTTATCCGCCAAGGTTAAATGGCCCACGACTTGGTTTCAAACGGCCCGTGACCACACGAGGAGTGCCGAAAGCAGTCGTATGTATGTGTGTATGTATGTGTGTGTATGTGTGTGTATGTGTGTGTATGTGTGTATGTATGTGTGTATGTATGCGTGTGTGTATGTGTGTGTATGTGTGTGTATGTGTGTGTATGTGTGTGTATGTGTGTGTATGTGTGTGTATGTGTGTGTATGTATGCGTGTGTGTATGTGTGTGTATGTGTGTGTATGTGTGTGTATGTGTGTGTATGTGTGTGTATGTGTGTGTATGTGTGTGTATGTATGCGTGTGTGTATGTGTGTGTATGTGTGTGTATGTGTGTGTATGTGTGTGTGTATGTATGCGTGTGTGTATGTGTGTGTATGTATGTGTATGTGTGTATGTGTATGTATAGGGGAGCGATAGTGTAGCGGTTAGCGCGCTGCGCTATGAACCTGGCGACCCGGGTTCGATTCCCGCTCACGGCCAACACCAGTGACGATTATCTGAACCGGTCCCGGGCCTCCCCTAGGTCGACTCAGCCTCAAATGAGTACCTGGTGCAGTGTCTAAACATTGCCACGAGGGAGACAAAGGCGGTCGGACGTGGTGCAGGCCACCCACCCCCTCGTGTACCGTTCCGGCCTTCATAGGTGCTCGCTAACAGCACTTTCCTCTACAGTCTGTTAAGGCTATATGGGGGATCTTTGTCTTGTATGTATAGTGGGAAGCGGTCGTGTAGCGGTTAACGCGCTCCGCTCTGAACCCGGCGACCAGAGTTCGATTCCCGCTCACGGCTAACACCAGGAACGATTATCTGAACCGGTCCTGAGCCTCCCCTAGGTCGACTCAGCCTCAAATGGTCACCTTGTGCAGTGTGGAAACATCGCCACTGGAGAAACAAAGGCGGTCGGGCGTGGGTGTTGGCCACCCACCCCTCGTGCCGTGCCGGCCTTCATAGGTGCTCGCTAACAGCACTTGCCCCAACAGTCTGTTAAGGCTATACGGGGAATCCTTGTCTTTTTAATGTATGCTGAACTTGTTATCCACTGTACGTGGCCAACCGTGTTAATCAGAGGTGCAGAGGAAGGACAACAAACTAAACACATAAAGCAGTTCAAAGGAAATTCGTTGTGCCATCTAGATCATGATTTCAAAGTTCATGGCTCCCAGTGCCTTCCTAATATCAGAAGAGCGCTCCTGAAAGCACGCAATGCGGTGACCCGTCTTTGTTCGATGGTTAAGCCAAAAAGTCGCCGTGAGGACGATCGGAATTTGCGCTCTGGTTGATGCCTTGCCACAGAATGCGGCATTTGAAATATCGCTGACTTCGGCAACAAGACATGGCGATCGTCGGGCTGGTTAAACCAGTTGTGCGAGTGCGTGACGCCCAGGCTTGTTTTTAGCTTCTGAGAAAAGGAATGAACCTCACGAGTCGATTGCAGTAAACACGCTGCGAACGCATTTCATCTTGTAATAGACACTACCTACAACAGAGCCAGTCCAGCACGGCTCGGCAGGCAACAGGTTGTTTTCGGCTGCAGGACCAGAGCCGTGTCTCGCTAGCGTTGGAACTCGCAACCGCCCGGAAGCCTGCTGTATATTTGGAGTTTGCGTGTCGCTCTCATCATCATCACGGTGGCTAGGAGATGTTAACTACCTCGCCTGATATACAGGAGGCTGTGGGGTTCGATCCCCACCCTGACGCCTGCTGCTGCTGTATATTTGGGGGTTTGCATGTTCTCCCTGTTGTTGTGCGGATTTTTTTTTCCGGGTCCTCCGTTTTTTCCCCTCCGCATTGAAGATTACGCGGCTGCTGTTAACTTCCACGCAATAAGCCACTTTCGTTGAGCCATCATCATCCGTGGCCTGGTCGCTTCTGAAAAAGAGCTACATGGCTCGGTGGGGACTTACCTTGCTAAAAAAAATATATATATACTTAATCGTTTGCGCCTACAGAGGGGTTCCCCTCTCACGAAGCCCAGCAGCGCGGTATCACCGCCAGGCTCGGCAAAAATAGCCGGTGGGAGAAAAAAAATAAAAAATACCGCCGGCACTGGTGGCGCAACTCTCGCCGGGGAAGTTGAACGCGGTGCTCACTCGTGCGGGTGGTGCGGGGAGCTGGGCTGGGCCTCCTCCTGGCCGGGGTGGCCCTGGGCTTGGCCTGCGCCCCCCGCGACGCCGACACCCTGGACGTCGTGGCGCCGGAGCTCCTGGACTTCGCCGGCGCGCGCGGCTGCGCCTGCTTCTCGCGGCTCGACTGCAGCACCTGGCGCTCCTTCTGCTGCCACTTGTGGCTGGCGGACTTGAGAGCGAGCAGGCGAAGCTGCAGCTCCTCCTCATCCTCCTCCTCTTCCTCTTCGTTCTCCTTGCCCGCGCCGTCGGGGAGCTGCGGACGCGTGCGAGAGGAGGTGGAGGGGGGGTGGGGGTGGGGGGGGGGGGGCGTGCGCAACGGAAACTCCCGTGTTAGTACAAAGTAAAGGCGCGCAAAGCCCGGCAATTCACTCGCTCGCAGAATTGCTGGCACGCATTTATAATGCCGGGCACGCACAGGTGGTGGTGGTGGTGGAGGGATATATGAAATTAGCACCGTTGTTTCAGCTGCCACGGCAGGATATCGAACCAATGACATCTGGTGCTGGATGCGACCTGGCCACGGGTGATAGCTCAACGTATCGCGTGGAAATCTATCGCAGCAGCCAAATAGTCTAAACGCATGCTTCTAAACGTGTAGGGAAATACCGGAATAACCCCCGAGAAAATTCCACGCGACCACAGGAGGAGAGAGAGAAAACATGCAAACCCCAAATATACAACAGGTGTCAGGGTCCGGATCGAACCCATGACCTCGTGCATACCAGGCGAGGGAGTTAACATCTCGCCACTGTGACGAGTTTGGCGACCGAGGGGAAAAGGCCTACAGCCCTAAAAGCCAGATGGCAGGGGGGTGGGGGGGGGGGGGTCCTTGAAAAAGTCAAGTGGACGGTTACGCGGCTCCGATCCCAGCGGCCAGTCCTGGCTATTACTGCGGTGGTGGTGCAGCATGAACCATGAAAAAAACACTGCTTAAAAATTACCACTACGCGTCAAAATACGACTGTGGACGTTAAAGATCCCATGACATCATTAGCAAGAGTAGCAGGTTGTGTTGTACGCCGGTGCCGCGGTCAAGACTTGCATAATTTCCAAGAGAATATGCAAATTACGCAATGATAAACACAGCAGCAGTCGTCCACTGAAAACTTGGCAGGACCCCCCCCCCCGAGAAAGAGTCTCGGGCCTCTCAAGAAAGGCTTTTCTGGGTGAAACAAGCGCAGTAATAATAACAAAACAAGTTTCAACAGCCGTGGGATCCGGCGGAGGAAAGAAGCGATGACGGGGGCGCAGTAGCTTCGACGGGCATTGGCCGTTACGACCTCTCGACCTTTGATCACAAACGTGACAAAGGTTATCACCGCGACGAGTGCATTGTGGCAAAGAGAAGAGGGCACGGAATCAAATTTCACACGTAGGCGTTCGCAACCGATATCGTTCATCATAAAAGTTTCGTTTGTAAATGTTGTGGGGTTCACGCTCTGGCACACAAGCGGTGTGCGCTGAAGTAGTAACCAATTGGTACGTTTTGTTCACGTGACAAACCTTACTGATTGGTCTGTGTCGGCTGATGGCAGGTTAACGACGACATTAATATATATGCAATCTAACCAAAGATAAACTTTTATTACGAACAGAATTCAAACACAAAGAGTCTTAACGTGGATACAACTCACGCCCCACACAGGCTATTTGACGGGCGAGGCGTCTTTGATGCAACCGCTGATTGAGTGAGCTCAAGGCAGTAATCTTGGCACGAATATTTTTTTTTTGCCAAGGTCTGGGGAAAAATATAAACCAATGACCTATAGAAAGGTCATGGAACAAGGGGTGGGCGGTGGGCCAGCTAAAAGTTAGCTGTATACATTACAAATTAAATACAGATTTGCTTGTACATTTAAAAATACGGTAACGTAACCGTTTAAACGTAAACAGAAATTAGACCGAGTGGATAACTGTGAAAAAGAGCTGCATAGCTCTCATCGGATTTCTCAAGGATAAATAAATAGCATTCTGATTCCTGCAATTTTTTTGTAATTTTCTTCATTTCTGGGGGTGGGTGGTTGTATTTTTTTTATTGGATTTTGCGAGAACCTACGAGAAAAGTAAGCTAGAAATACAGGTTTCATGGTTGACATTGGTACATCCTCCCCTCTCTCTCCCTCCCCTCTCCCCCACGAGATTGCTGCCGTGGCACCAAGCGCCGAAAATACAAACCTGTACTTTCATGGCAAAACGTGGGGCATTTTGAAAGGCGATCAAAACAAAAAGGGCCTTATCCCGCGTGTTCCCACGGCAATGTCCCTGCTCTGACGGACTTCACTCAAAATTCGCGATTTCCTTTGCCCACCATGCCCCCCCCCCTCTGTGCCAATATCGTACAGCCGTAAGAACACAAGCCAATGCCACACAACTGCTGCAAAGCTTGAATGTTAAGAGCCAACCTTCGGGGCAGGCCGTCCACTGTACAACTGCTGCAGGATCTAGCAGAAGGAAGGAAGCAAGCAAAAGGGAACGTGCGGAGGCATCAACAGCACTGGCCGTGATGATCTCGGCATCGATGACACGGCTCACGATTCCCTAAGCCGAAGTGAGGAACCAGAGAGAACCAGAGATATCCCCCCCCCTCCCATCCCGTGCAAAATACAAATGCGTGAGCGAATTTTCACATCCCAGCGATTCCACGAAACGTCAAGATTCTGGGCTGCAATTTTCATCCCGCTTGCATCTCGCTCGAAATTTGTCCGTCTCAGTCTACATAATGCCACGGTGGCGAAATATTAACGACCTCGCCTGGTATACACAGGTTGTGGGGTTCAATCCCAACCCTGACGCTGTGTGCGCCTCAGTAATTACACTCTACACCTGTATATTTGGCGTTTGTATCGTTTCCCTGTGGTAGTGTGGACTTTTCTCCAGGTCCTCCGGTTTTACCCTCTACATTTAGAATCAACGTCAAGCGTTGAGTATTTGACTGCTATACATTTCCACCCACTTGGCTGAGCTATAATTTGTGGCCAGGTCGCTTCTGAAAAAGAGCTACGTAGCTCAGTGGGGCCTTAACTGGTAACATAAAAAAAGAGGTTTTTTTTAAAGACCCAGATTTATACGCTCCGCTAGCCTATGAACATTAGCAGATGGTTTACAAAAAGAGCAAACATCCGACTCTCACACGCGGGATTCCATGCACTGGCAGAGCCAGTGGGAGGGGGGTGTGCACGTGCCCCCCCCCCCCACAACGATCCCATCGAAATCCCTAATTTTGATCGGATCATTGTGGTTTATTAGTAATAAATCGGCATTTTGCGACCCCCACTGCCACTGTGTAGCATATTATTACGTGCCAGGGACTCTATGAGATGATAGGGCAATAGTCCATAATTGGCGATGGCAAAGCGGTTATAAGTGATTCAGAATTGTACGCAGTTGCGTATACAGTCCACGACTTCCCTGAAGGCATTCACCTTCAGCGAGCACGATGCCGATCACACAACGCGGTTCGCAATTCGAACCTCGATCGATGGCTGCGCCATCGCCGCACACGCGTCGAATAAAAAGCAAGGGACCAGTCCTTACTTACTAACAACTCCTTACTTACTAACAACTCCTTACTTACTAACAACTCCTTACTTACTAACAACTCCTCTATCATTTTTTCATTGCAGGAGGGGATGCCCTCCCTACCCGAAAATCCTGGCTCCGCCATTGATTCCATGCATGTACCGAAAGCATAAACATCGCCATTGATGTTTAGAGCCCCTTTTGTCAATTCACTGCTGAAAACCTTTGCAGGTCATGCATGGGTGGGGGGGGTTATTTTACTTCCCCACGCTAGTCAGTGCAGGTTTGGGTGAAGATGGAAAGAACAGATTGAGGGAGCATTGCACAGTACAACAATAAATCTTGCTGCATTTCCCTCCGCAGACAACGTAGCCCTGCAGCAGCCAATGCCCTTCCGAACATTATCCTGGCTCAGCTTCCAAAACCGATAGTCTCTACGAATGTCATGTTTCCCGTTAAAAAAAGCTACCATGCACATCTTGTCATCATACATACAGTAGTTGCGATCGAGACATACAATTCTTCCAGAAAATAATTGGCAGCATTTGCCACCCTGGGTGGTACCGATAAGCCATTTCGAGCTAAGGGCTCCAGGAGTTGTGCGTGCGTGGGGAGGCTCGCATGCACATTTCAGTAACTGACCAAGTCTGGTGAGGAGTCGGGGGTCTTGCTGCTGCAGGAGGAATGGCTGGACTCTGCTGCCTGGCAAAGTTTGTTGCTGGAGCCTATACACAACACACACACACACCATCACTCAGGAACAACATCATCATCATGGCGAAGACAAGGCCAGTGTACACTTTGTCTAGTTTAAATTGGAATGGTTTAGTGATACGGCAAAGCGCAAAACACATTTGACGCTTGTTGCAGAGGTTCGTGGTTCAGGAGAGAAGCGGCCACCCTGGTTAATACTGCGAGTGTATTGACCGCTAAAATGTCTTCAATTTGGACGTGACCTATGTCGCTTAGATGTCAATTCTGAACTGGTACTGTTTAGACCCCGGGTTCAAATCCAGGTATCCACCTGTGGAATAAACTGGATTTAAGTCCAGTGAGAGGTGATGGTCTCAGAATAGTCACCAAGGACTGCACACGCATAAAAAAAACATCGCTATAAAATAAGTTCTACAATCAATTTGTCAAAATTCTTGCCGAGAATTACTTTTGAAAAATATATATCACTTTAACCGTCACGTAGCAAATGTTACTCAGTGCCACAGCGAGGGAGGGAAAAGTTGCGTCCCTCTACTCTGCGGACCCAAAGGTCACTTGATGGGATCTCAAAGGCAGCTCTGCGATGTCCGGTTCTGCGGGCCGCTCTCCCAACACCAAGGGGCCGCGTCGCTCTACGAACGCAAATCAAACCTGCGCCATTTCCATCCTCCGTGATCCGAGGGCCTTCGTCTCCATCCCTCGTGCCACTTCCTCCGCCGTCCCCCGTCTCAGAATGTCCGAGCTTCTTCTTGTTGAGCTCGTCAAGCTCGGCGGGCTTCAGGATCTTTTGCCGCAGCGGCTTCAGCTCGAACGGACGGAACGCCTTGGGCGAGACCGCCGGCTGGGGATGCTGCTCCGGGCAGGAATTGAGCAGCGCCGCCGCGGGCTTCGGCGGCCTCTGCATCCTCTCGTCGTAGCGCCCGTCATCCCTCGGCCGCCCGTCATCCCTCGGCCGCCCGTCATCCCTCGGCCGCCCGTCATCCCTCGGCCGCCCGTCATCCCTCGGCCGACCGTCATCCCTCGGCCGACCGTCATCCCTCGGCCGACCGTCATCCCTCGGCCGACCGTCATCCCTCGGCCGACCGTCATCCCTCGGCCGACCGTCATCCCTCGGCCGACCGTCATCCCTCGGCCGACCGTCATCCCTCGGCCGACCGTCCCACGACCGTCCCGGGCATTCCCCAAGCCAGTCTTGGTTGTAGGGCCCGACGGTGCAGCCGCCGCCGCCGCCGACGCCACCGCCATCGCCGCCGCCACTGCTGCCCCTCGTTCGATCGTCGCGGTGAGCAGCCACGTCCCAGCCCCTCTCCAGGGCGGCATGCGAGTCATTCCACTCACGGTTGTCCCACGGCTCGTAGGGAACGCCGTCACGGCACCACGTCTTCCGCTCCCTCTCGTCCCCGTGCCACTCGCTCCAGTGCCTCCTGCTGTCGGCGTGGCGCTCCTGCCAGGCCTGGTCGTGCCACGGCGGTGGTGGTTGCGGCGGCAGCTTATCTTCGTGCCGGTCATTCCACGGCACCTCGTCCCATGTCCGATCGTCGGCGTGCCGCTCTTTCCAGGGCGGCCTGTCGTCACTATCGCCGCCGCCGCCACCGCCGGGTCTGCCGTCCCAGAGCCAGCGCTCATCCCGGCAGTGCCGAACGTCCTCGGCGTGCTCGGCCCACGCTCGTTCGCCGCCACCGTGGCCGTCCTGCCAGGAGGGCCGGTGTTCATGGTGTTCATCGCGGCACCATGGATCGGCAGGGCGGCGCTCCTGCGGAAGCACGGTAGGGGGACCAACCCCGCCGCCTGGGTACCAGGCGTTGGTCTTGAGGTCCTCCACCTCCCTCTCCTCCTGGTTGATCTCCTCCAGCTCCTTCTGGATCTGGCGGTACGTCTCCAGCAGCTCGTCGAAGCTCTCCTCGTGCTCCGGCTCGGGCCGTGCGCCGTGGTTCGGGCCACGTGCCGGCATTATGCGGGGGAAGTTCATCTCTGAGCACAAAGTTAAAGCGTCGTGACATTTCGAAGTGGAAAAACACATTACGTACACGTACTGCAGCAAGACCTCCCCCAAAGCTGGACTCGGATAAGCTGCAATTTTAAACTGCGCACGGTCTGAGACGGCTTAATGCTCGACGCAAGTCTTGTGTAGGCTATCCGAGATGCTCTTATGAAGAGGAAGTACGAGCGGCCGAGTAATGTAATGGGGTAAACACAAGTGATGCACGTGTGCTTGCAATTCGAAAGCTATACGAAGTTGTGTTGTATTGAATTCGGGGCACTAAATCCACGTGCTTTACTAGGGCTCTTTCTTGCTCACAATCGTCATTTTATATCCATTTCACACAAAAAAGCTCATCTCGCCCGTGAGAATCACCTTTATTTTCCTGGGTGTAAAAATCAGCCTTCCACCTCTTCCCCCGAGCGCGCGACTCGTGTTAAACTGCACAGTTTGTTAAAAGTTAATGCTTTAAAACAAGATTGAATGCTTAAGCTTTATTAAATGGTGAATATTGCATTTAAATATTCAGTTCACCGTTCCTAACTTATTACAAGCTTATGAAATATGTTCGTGTTATTTACATGTAACATTAACGATGTGTTATTTATTTGCAGTAAAATACCCTCCTCCCAATTAGTCTGGCCCGACACGGCCCATGTTGACATGAGGTGGCAGGGTCACTTGGAGGTCAGTGCTCTTTGCTCTGAACCACCCTTGGGTTAAAATCGGGTTCCGGCTAACCGTGTTTCATCTGGGACCTCAAGTTCAGGGAGTTATTCGCTCCAACATGTCGCCTACACGATTAAAAAAAATCGTATCGTATTTGTTTCTTCACAAGTCAAATCACCATACAACGCCGACATATTCAACTCGCTGAGGTATGGGGCGGATATGTGACAAGGTCGGATTTGGGAACGTCAATGGAACATAACAGTTACGCACCCATGCATAAAATACTGTGCTGGAAGTGGGCGGTTAAATGGTCAGGGCGAATGTCACGATTAAATATGTGACGTTGTACTCTTTATTTTACCGTCTTATGTGTGTCACGTCACACCACACCAAAGGTCGGTTTAAGGACACACAGGTCATTATATAATTACGCCTCTGGGGTGTTCAGACCCATAAAAAAAATACTTGTCACTTCTTTGTGGTTTCACATCCTCATACGTTCACAAAAAAAGTCCCACCACAATGGGTGGTTAACAAAAAACGCAAGACATCGCGGTGTGGGAAACCCACAACGAAAATTGTACGCTATTGGGGAAACGTGAAAATTATTTTTCATTCTGTCCTGACACTCGGGTTATTTCGGTTTCTAGTATTCCTAACAGACAGAATGCTGCCCACTCCCAAGCCATTTGTATAAAATTATTGAGACTCGACAAAATAACACATAGGCATGTAACAATTGCCATTCCCACTGAATTACAATTTTTGGGGGTATCAATGATTACATTAAAGAATCTGGGGGGGGGGGTTGGGCTTCTCCGTCTTGTCAGCACGTACCAAGTATTGAAAATCATAATCTTTATTTCGACCGGAAGAATCCACAATACCGTCTACTTTGTATCGTCTCATTTGTAATGTCTCAGTTTTAGTGTACCATCTATACCGTCTCGCTTATTGTACCATGTTATTTATGACCGCCTCATCCTTATTCTCATTTGTACTATCTTAGCTTTAGCGGTGTCTGTATGACGCCTTTGTTTAGCCTCATTCTGTCTCGTCTGTCCCCTCGGAAGCGTAACCATACCCTGGGCTGCCATTCCGTCGTAAGTATCGGCCAACAGCCTAGGTAAATCACACTTCTCGCTTGAAAAATTCACACGGTGGCGAGATGTTAACTACCTCGCTTGGTATACAGGAGGTCGTGGGCTCGATCCCAACCCTCGACGCCTGCTGTATATTTGGAGTTTGTGTCTCTCTCTCTCCCCGTGGTCGCGGTGGATTTTTCTTCGGGTGCTCCGGTTTTTTTCCCCTCCACATTTAGAAACGTCACGCGTTTAGAGTGTTTGGATGCTGTTATACATTTCCACGTGGTGATACGCCACTTCGTTGAGCGATCATTTGATAGCAGAGTCGCTCCTGAAAAGGTGCTACATAGCTTAGTTGGCCTTACGTGGTAAAATAAAAAATATATATATAGTTTCTAGTACTGGCGGAGCCAGTGGGGGAGGGGGGCACAATGATCCGATCGAAATCCCTAACTTCGATCGGATCATTGTGGTTTATTCGTAATAAATCGGCATTTTGCGACCCCCACTGCCACTGTGTAGCATATTATTAGATGATAGGACAATAGTCTGAGTCCATAATTGGCAGTATGTAACGGCAAAGCGGCTATAAGCGACTCACAGAATTGTGCGCGGTTGCGTATACAGTCCAGAGACTTCCCTGAAGGCATCGACACCTTCAGCGAGCGCGATGCCGATCACTAACAACGCGGTTCGCAATTCGATCCCTCGGTCAATGGCTGCGCCATCGCCGGACACGCGTCGAAAAAAAGCAAGGGACAACTCATTACTCACTAACAACTTCCTCACTAACAACTTCTCTATCATCTTTCATTGCTGGAGGGGTTGCCCCCTCCCACCCACCCACCTTACCTGAAAATCCTGGCTCCGTCATGGGTTTCTAGTTTTGTTTTTAGTTTAGTCTCGTCTCTTGGCCATGTTACTCCTCGACACCAAACCACCACAGCTCACACTCCTATGTTATTACAAGTCGAATTCTATTTCACGCAACGCAATATCATACCTGTCAACCCATTACGTTTTTAGCCCGTATTCTTGTACAGGGAAATAAAGAGTTTTCAGAGCCATACGGCGTACAGCCGTTTCAATACGGGCTAAAAAAGACGTATTTGTTTATTTGTTTTTTTTGCCTTGTGATCGAGACTTTGTAGGATGGACGTTGGAATTTATAAGGGGCACGGGGTGACCAAAACGGTCTGAATTGGTCTGTAATAAGAAGGCACTGATAAGTGGTTGACAGGTATCTAGTAGTGAGTGTGCTACTTATAAGGGATTCACAGGTATGCGATATTTAACCTCAAGATAGGCAAATCTCACGATCGCCTTAAAAAGGGAAAAATCTCCAAACTACTTCCCCCTCCCCCACTCGTTCTCACGTGGAACCTCACACGGTCGCCTCTCCACACACACACACCCCACTCTAACGCAACACCTCACGCGAGAAAAACGTGCCACGTCAACAAAGGGTGGATACGGGACATCCTCAAGGGCGGCTGAGCCTCGTTCTCCCCCGCCTCCACCTCTCCGGCCGCGAGGCCCCGCGGCCTCGCCCCGACAACGCCGCCACCTCGCGACCTCCCCGCTCCGCGCCCGCTCCTCCATTTGGCTCGCGGCAGGAGCCCGCGGGACTTGTTCGGGCGGAAGACACCTAGCGGCTGATGCTGCTGCTGCTGCCCGTGACGATGCCCCTGACGAAGATGCCCTCGTCCCAGTGTCCCAGAGCCGCCGCCGCCGCCGAAGCCGTGGTAGGAGCGCGGCCTACCCCGATGCGTAGCCTGCGCTCGCCTGAGCGGCTCTACCGGCCGCGACTCGAGCGAGGAGGCGGGACGACGAGGCTCGGGGGGGTTGTACACCCCGTCGGACGCGTCGTCGATTTCGCCGTCCTCGAGCTCGCCGTCGTCCGCGAACTCGCTGTTCGGAGCGGCGTCCATGTGAGCGCGGCAAGCGGAGAGTTTGAGCGACGAGGGCGAGCTGCTGCTGCTGCCGCACGCGGCATCAGTGCGAGCGGTTGACCGGTGGAAGAATTGAGGGAAAGGGCGGCCCTCTCCTTCGTCTGTTAATGGTTGCGTGACGTCATGTCTACCCGAGAGTGGGCGTGACGTCATATGGGGAGGGAGGGGGGGGCGGTTGAAGCAAGGTCCGTGATGTCATCGATGCGTTCTCGCCCGTTGTGGCGTCATGTGTCGGAAGGGCCTACGCCCTCTATACCCACGACGTTGGAGCCGCGAGTGGTGGTGGTTGGTGGTGGTGGCGGCGGTGGAATCGATTCGACGTCGCTCTCGCAACCGGCATCGATTACCATCTGGACGCTTTGCGAGCGGCAATGTCGATCCGCGATTCTGTCGGCCGCGGATCGCTATTAACACAAACAATTGGAATCGAAAGAATCGACTAGGGGCGGGCTTGTCGGGTAAACAGCTGATCCGCGGCTGGTTGTTGTTGTTGTTATCGTCGTTGTTGTTTTAAGCGTCCGAGCTCTCTCCTCGTTTATTCATCGACGCGGGCGACGGTTCGAGCGGGAGCGCCGCGTCGCGACAGCCTCGTAAGTTTTATTAATCGTGAATTTAACCAACGCAGCAGTAGCATCAGACAAAGTCAGCGGCCAGATTTCGGCCACTTGACCAATGGACGAAAGTCACTAAACGAACGTTGTGGCGGGGGGGGGGTTGACGTTGGTCCAACGTTAGCCCAACGTTGGGCTGCTTACAATCCATCTCGCACCATCTCCGAGACGTGATGCCCAGCAAGTCGTTATTAAATCCCCAAAACTGTGAACACATCTGGGCCCTGCAACGTGCCAACGCCATCACGCAACATTCAAAGCGCCGATCCACCATTTACAATTATAGTGTAGTGCATAGTGTAGTGTATAGTAGTGTAGTCTATAGTAATGGATAGTATAGTGTAGTGTACTAGTACAGAAACCACACCGGTTGTGTGTTGGAGAGTAAACCCACTACAACGTTTACAATTCGAGTATCGTGAAATACTTATTTCCCTCATTTAAATGCAAATCAATTTATAACATTTTTGACATGCGTTTTTCTGGATTTTTGTTGTTGTTATTCTGTCTCTCACTGTTCAAATAAACCTACCGTTAAAATTATAGACTGATAATTTCTTTGTCAGTGGGCAAACGTACAAAATCAGCAGGGGATCAAATACTGTTTTTTCCCTCACTGTAACTACCGGAGTGAGGGGCTCTCAATTCGAAAAGCCTCGCAAGTTCAAAAATCCCGGTTGGAGGCTTCAATCGTCCCATCATTGCCTTTCTTGTACTTCGCAGGCCTGCGTGGACTTTGACACTTTATTTATTTAAGAGGCGGTGTGGCGTTGTTTTCCTCGCCTGGTATACAGGAGGGTCGGGGTCGGGGGTTCGATCCCGACCCTGACGCCTGCTGCTGCTGTATATTTGGAGTTTGCGTCTCTCGTCATCATCACGGTGGCTATGAGATGTTAACTACCTCGCCTGGTACGCAGGAGGTCGTGGGTTCGATCCCGACCCTGACGCCTGCTGCTGCTGTATATTTGGAGTTTGCGTGTCTCTCTCTCATCATCACGGTGGCTATGAGATGTTAACTACCTCGCCTGGTACGCAGAAGGTCGTGGGTTCGATCCCGACCCTGACGCCTGCTGCTGTATATTTGGAGTTTGCGTGTCTCTCTCTCATCATCACGGTGGCTGCGAGATGTTAACTACCTCGCCTGGTGTACAGGAGGTCGTGGGTTCGATCCCGACCCTGACACCTGCTGCTGTATATTTGGAGTTTGCGGTGTCTCGCTCGCTGTGGTCGCATGGATTTCTACGGGTCCTGTTTTTTTCCCTCGCGATAAGCCACTTTGTTGAGCTATTATTTGTGGCCAGGTCACGTCTGAAAAACAAGTTAATAGCTCAGTGGGCTTCATAACTGGTAAAAAAAAACAAGCTTAATTTGTATTTTTTAAAATTATTATTTGTTTACCTTTGCACCACTATTGTGTTTTCGCATTGTTCGTTGTTGTAACGTTGCGACCCCATGCCCCTACTGGACATCTGTGAAAAAGAGCTTTATAGCTCATCGGATTCCTCCAGTGTGAATAAATTCTGAGTCCAATCATGATCATCATCATCCCTGTGGGGTTGCTAAAATAGCTGCCACTTTGCGGAGAAAGTCAACTAGTGGTTGTCCCATGGGTGGACGCACCGTAGGAATGTGGAATTTGCGGCACTTACTCAGGACGATAAGCAGGAGATGTTTTGTTGTTGTTCGTGGTGTTCTGCTGGTGCGCGAGTAGGTGCCTGCCTGCCCATGGGGAGCCTGTGCTTCCCTTGTCTGGGTGGGCAGAATGGGGACCAGGAGGAAACGCAGGACTTGGTGAGAAGCATTTGGACCCTCCGCATCAGCCCTCACGAATTAATCGATTCAAACGGAGCAATTGTCGGTCAGCTCCTTTTCACGTGAAGGAGAGTAAGCGAATCAATCCGAGGTGTGTGGCCAATGGGATGAAGCATTTTTTTGTTAACAAGGCAAAGGCACAGCCCTGCAAAATTGCCTGGATCAACGCCAGTGCTGACGGAAGGGCCTCCGCTACCCCCTTAGTCTTCCGTGCCGGCCAGAAGTTTTGGAAGAGGTGGCGATAGCCACACTTTACCCCACACAACCTGACCTGCCGATCGACTTGACGGTGCTGGAGCCATTTGCGCCGCTGGGTCGGCAGAGACAGAAAGGGGATTTAAGAAATGTGCTTCGTTCATTCAACTGCCGTGCGGGGAGAATCAGTCGGCAACCTCTGGATCGCAAATAGCCCACGAGCCGATTTCACCGCTCCATCTCTTCCCCGGCGGGCGTCCCCTCGGACGCGTCGAGTTCCATCCCTTGGCTGCCGCTCCGTCGACTCCTGCAAGGGCCATTCGACGCGTGCGAATTGATGCGTCGGCAGGGCGCCACTGTGCCGTGATGTTAACTACCTCGCCTGGTATGCAGAAGGTCGTGGATTCTATCCTGACGCCTGCTGCTGTGTATTTGTAGTTTGCATGTTTCTCTCCCCGTGGTTTGCGTGGATTTTTTACCGGGTCCTCCGTTTTTTTTTCCCTCCGGATTTAAATTCAACATCGCACGCTTCGAGTAATTTGGCGGCTCTAAATTTCCACGTGAAAAGCCACTTCGTTGAGCTGTCATTTGTGATAGCAAGCTTCTGAAAAAGACCCACACAGCTCAGTGGGCCTTACCTAGTAAAATAAAAATAGTAGTTGTAGTAGGTAACACCCCGAATCGCAACAGTCTACCTGTCCGCCTGGGCTTGTGATGTACGTATGTTGAACTTCTTTCGTACCGTAGATAGCTAACCATGCAAATCGGAGGTGCATGGGAAGGTCAAACTCAAAAAGCAGTTCTAAAGAAATTCATTTTCAATCGAGAAAGACGTCAATTTTGTCAATATACTGACCCCTGACCTTCTTGCCCCCCGCCCCCTATCAACACCCACCCCGCCCCCCTCCCCGTGCCCCTCGCAGGAGCTAAGAAGAGCGCAGTTGGCAGCGGCGGCAGAGAAGAGGATCCAGGAGGTGACGACTCTCGCTCCCTCTCCCCCTCTGCCCCTACACCGGATGAACATCGCATGAGCCCAGAACCGGATGTCTTGCTCGTCCAGTACCGCCCGAGGTGGCAAGACTTTAGCGGTTCCAAAAAATCACTACGTGGCCTATAACGGTGAAATGTGTGAAAAACACGATTGGGGCTATCCAGTAATCCGCTCTTACTTGCCATGTAAACTCTTTTTTATTTTACTAAATATGTTTTATTTTACTTTACCAGGTAAGGGCCCACTGAGCTCTCTCGCCCGTTTTTTCAGAAGCGACCTGGGCCACAAATTATCGCTGAACCAAGTGGCTTACCACGTGGGCATTTATAGCAGACAAATGCTCGAAACGAATGTTTTGAAGTGTGGAGGGGAAAAACCGGAGGACCCGGAGAAAAAAAAATCCACGGGGAGAGAGAGAGAGAAACACGCAAGCTCCGAATATACGGCAGGCGTCGGAGTCGGGATCGAATCCCCGACCTCGTGCAAACCAGGCGTGGGAGATGACATCACGCGGGGACGAATTTAGCAGCACCAATCGGGTGCAAAAGGGTGAATGTTTCACGCGGCATGCGAACCGGATCCGGATCGTGGCAATTCCCGGGCCTCCGGGTTTTGCGGGTCCCTCCGGCTGATCGTGGCCTGCGCGCGTGCGCGTGGTCGTACAGTCGTCTGTCGTGGGGGAGCGGTGGTGTAGCGCTCAGCGCTACGCTGCGCTACGAACCCGGCGGCCCGAGTTCGAATTGCCGCTCACGGTCACTTACACCGGTGACGATTATCTGAACCGGTCCTGGGCCTCCCCTAGGTCGACTCGGGCTCAGATGAGTATCTGGTGCAGTGTGTAAAAACATCGCCACTGAGGTGGCCGGGCGTGGTGCTGGCCACCCACCCCCTCGCGTGCCGTGCCGGCCTTCATAGGTGCTCGCGAACAGCACTTGCTCCAACAGTCTGTAAAGGCTATAAGGGGGATCTTTGTTTTTTTTGCAGTCGTCTGCCCGTGGCATTAAGGACCCCGAGGGGGTGGCGCGCAAGAAGAAGCAGCGGGAGGAGATGGAGCGCAAACTGGCGGAGGAGGCGCGGTCGCCCGGGGAGGGAGGAGGCCTGCGGGTGAGAGTGCGATGAATCCACCTTCTCGGTGACATGAAAGGAATATAGTTCACAATAGAGGGTGTTTTTTTTTTGGGTTGGATGGCGTAAAGATAAATGTGTCGTTAAAGCCGCCACCACCCGACAAAGGTTAATTATTAGTAAAGCTTTGTCACGTAAACAAAACGTGGCCAATTCGTTACTAGTTCAGCACACACCGGTGTATTGGAGAGTAAACCCACAACATTTACAATTGTTTGGCGTATGTACGTGGCGTGTGTGTGGCGTATGTACGTGGCGTGTGTGTGGCGTATGTACGTGGCGTATGTACGTGCGTGTGTACGTGGGGTGTGTGTGTGGCGTGTGTACGTGGTGCGTGTGTGTGTACGTGGTGTGTGTGTGTGTGTGTGCTTGTGTCTCATGGTAGAGTAGCGGCTGGCTCGCCGCCCTACGTACCCGGCGACCCGAGTTCGATTCCCCGCTCACAGCGAACATCGGTGACGATGATCTGAACCGGTTTGTGGGCCTCCCCGAGGTCGACCAGGCCTTAATTGAGCACCCGATGCGGATGTTTGAACATCCGCATTGGGTGCGGCCGGGCGTGGTGTTGTTGGCAGCCCACCCCTTCTTGTGTGCTGTGCCGGCCTCAAAAGGTGCTCGCTAACAGCACTTGCCCCAACAGCCTGTTAATTCGACCACGGGGGAACCTTTCTTATCTTTGTGTCTCCCAGTGGCAGGTCGGCTGATGGCAAGGGCAAGGAAAGCATCACAGGCACTGGGAAGAAAAGCAAACTCCACGCACAGATCTCCCCTGCCAGAGTGATAGTCCAGCCACCGCATCTCGCAGTGGGAGAGAGAGGTAGCCCGGCCACCTTTGTCTCTCTCACTGTCTCTCTCATCTCTCGCACGGAGCACAAGTGAATGTAAAGACGCCGACGCACGCATGCACGCACGCTAGCACACAGACAAAGACACACACACACAGACAAACACACACACACACACTGACAAAGACACACACACACTGACAAAGACACACACACACTGACAAACACACACACACTGACAAAGACACACACACACAGACAAAGACACACACACACTGACAAAGACACACACACACAGACAAACACACACACACTGACAAAGACACACACACACACAGACAAAGACACACACACACTGACAAAGACACACACACACAGACAAAGACACACACACACTGACAAAGACACACACACAGACAAAGACACACACACAGACAAAGACACACACACAGACAAAGACACACACACACTGACAAAGACACACACACACAGACAAAGACACACACACACACAGACAAAGACACACACACACTGACAAAGACACACACACTGACAAAGACACACACACACTGACAAAGACACACACACACAGACAAAGACACACACACACTGACAAAGACACACACACAGACAAAGACACACACACACTGACAAAGACACACACACACAGACAAAGACACACACACACTGACAAAGACACACACACACTGACAAAGACACACACACGCTGACAAAGACACACACACACTGACAAAGACACACACACACTGACAAAGACACACACACAGAGAAAGACACACACACTGACAAAGACACACACACACTGACAAAGACACACACACTGACAAAGACACACACACACTGACAAAGACAAAGATCCCCCATAGAGCCTTAACACTCGGGGCAAGTGCTGTTAGCGAGCACCTATTAACGCCGGCCGGTGCTCACACAGAAACACACACTGACACTGACACACACTGACACACACAGAGATACACAGACATACACAAAGACACAGAAACACACACTGACACTGACACACACAGAGAGATACACAGACATACACAAAGACACAGAAACACACACTGACACAAACACACACAGAGATACACAGACATACACAAAGACATAGAAACACACACTGACACACACACACTGACACACAGAGAGACACAGACATACACAAAGACACAGAAACGCACACTGACACACACACTGACACACACTGACACACACTGACACACACAGAGAGACACAGACATACACAAAGACACAGAAACACACAGACACACACACTGACACACACTGACACACACAGAGAGACACAGACATACACAAAGACACAGAAACATACACTGACACACACACACACACTGACACACACACAGAGATACACAGACATACACAAAGACACAGAAACACACACTGACACACACAGAGAGATACACAGACATACACAAAGACACAGAAACATACACTGACACACACACACACACTGACACACACACAGAGATACACAGACATACACAAAGACACAGAAACACACACTGACACACACACAGAGATACACAGACATACACAAAGACACAGAAACACACACAGATACTGACACACACAGAGAGCCACAGACATACACTAAGACACAGAAACATACACTGACACACACACAGAGAGACACAGACATACACAAAGACACAGAAACACACACTGACACACACACAGAGAGACACAGACATACACAAAGACACAGAAACACACATTGACACACACACTGACACGTGCAGACACACACCGCGCTTGTCTTGCTGTGGCTAGAGCCCCACCGTCTTGTGACCCCACGGGATTCGCATCTCTGCCTGCGTGCACGTTTGTATGTGTGTGTACGTATGTTCACCTTCTTTTGTACCGTACGTAGCCAACTGTGCTATGGGTCTCTGTGTGAGTCTATGGGTCTCTGTGTGAGTCTGTGGGTCTCTGTGTGAGTCTATGGGTCTCTGTGTGAGTCTGTGGGTTTCTGTGTGTGTCTGTGGGTCTCAGTGTGTTTGTGGGTCTCTGTGTGAGTCTCTGGGTCTCTGTGTGAGTCTGTGGGTCTCTGTGTGAGTCTGTGGGTTTCTGTGTGCGTCTGTGGGTCTCTGTGAGTCTGTGGGTCTCTGTGTGAGTCTATGGGTCTATGTATGAGTCTGTGGTTCTCTATGTGAGTCTATGGGTCTCTGTGTGAGTCTGTAGGTCTCTGTGTGAGTCTGTGGGTTTCTGTGTGTCTGTGGGTCTCTGTGAGTCTGTGGGTCTCTGTGTGCGTCTGTGGGTCTCTGTGTGAGTCTGTGGGTCTCTGTGTGAGTCTTTGGGTTTCTGTGTGTGTCTGTGGGTCTCTGTGTGTGTCTGTGGGTCTCTGTGTGAGTCTGTGGGTCTCTGTGTGAGTCTATGGGTCTCTGTGTGAGTATGTGGGACTCTGTGTGAGTCTATGGGTCTCTGTGTGAGTCTGTGGGTCTTTGTGCGAGTCTGTGGGTTTCTGTGTGTGTCTGTGGGTCTCTGTGAGTCTGTGGGTCTCTGTATGAGTCTGTGGGTCTCTGTGTGAGTCTATAGGTCTCTGTGTGT